TATATAAAGATTTATTTTATTTTATTTGAAAGACGGAGTTACAGAGAAAGAGAGAAGGAGATACAGAGAGAGGTCTTCCATTCACTAGTTCACACCCCAGATAGTCACAATGGCCAGATTGGGCCAGGCTGAAGCCAGGAGCTTCATCTAGGTCTCTCACATGGATGCAGGGGCCCAGGTAGTTGAGTCATCCTCTGCTGCTTTCCCATACACATTAGCAAGGAGCTGGATGGGAAGTGGAGCAGCTGGGACTTCAACTGGCACTCGTATGAGATGTTGGCATTGCAGGCCACAGCTTAACCCACTGAGCCACAATGCCAGCCCCTAGATATATTCTTTAAATTCAACTGCTCAGATAACAGAACAGGAAGATAAAGATGTAAGTTCATTACTTGTCTGGCAGTTTGAGTTAGAGTAATCAGATATGGAGCTGAAGGGGGAAGACAGGCTACCTTTTACCGCCTCTATCTGGATGTTTAGCCGTTCTCACTCCCTGAGAACCTCCCAGCAGACTAATGTCACAGCAAGTACTGTATTAATGTTGTTCCCTAGCTAGGTTCCAGTAAAAGTAAAACAAATATTTTAAGAAAGCATTTACAAAGCTCTCCATAAAATTACATGAAAGGCTGACCATTTTGTTGGGGCTTAGAAATCCACTTTCACCCTGAAATGATATACTGCAATCTGTTCTTTAATATGATAATTGTGACTTTTTTTTTCCTAAAAGATTTATTTATTTGTTTGAAAGGCAGAATAACAGAGAGGCAGAGGCAGAAGTAGAGAAAGAGAGCTTCCATCCGCTGGTTCACTCCCCAAATGGCTGCAATGGCTGGAGCTGAGCCGATGTGAAGCCAGGAGCCAGGAGCTACTTCTGGATCTCCCATGTGGGTGCAGGGGCCCAAGGACTTGGGCCACCTTTTGCTGCTTCCCCAGGTGCATTAGCAGAGAGCTGGATCGGAAGTGGAGCAGCCATGACTCAAACCAGCACCCAAATGGGACGCCAACACTGCAGGTGTCAGCTTTACCTACTATGCCACAGCATAGCCACCACCACCACCCCAGCCTTTTTTTTTATTTTTTTTTATTTTTTTTTATTTATTTACTTATTTGAAAGGCAGAGTTACAGAGGGAGAGAGAGGGAGAGAGAGAGGTACCTTCTATCCTCTAGTTCACTCCTCCAGATGGCTGCAATGGCCAGGGCTGGGCCAGGCTGAAGCTAGGAGCCAGGAGCTTCTTCTGGGTCTCCCATGGAAGTGTTCGGGACCCAAACACTTGGGCCATCTTCCGCTGGTTTCCCAGGCACATTACCAGGGAGTAGGATTGGAAGTGAGACGTAAACTGGCACCCATATGGGATACCGGCACTGCAGGAGGTAGCTTAATCCACTGTGCCACAGTGCTGCCCCCTGTGATTTGATCTTTAATCACAGAAAGTAAATCTTATTTTATACTTTCTTTAAAGATTTCTTTATTTGACAGAGTTACAGAGAGGCATAGGCGGGGGGTGGGGGCGGGGATCTTCCATCTGCTGGTTCACTCCCCAAAAGGCCATAACAGCCAGAGCTAGGCTGATCTGAAGTCAGGAGCCAGGAGCCAGGAGCCAGGAGCTTCTTCTGCATCTCCCACGCAGTGCAGGGGCCCAAGGACTTTGGCCATCCTCTGCTGCTTTCCTAGGTGCATTAGCAGGGAGCTGCATCAGAAGTGGAGCAGCCAGGAGACCAACTGGTGTCCATGTGGGATGCTGGCACTGTAGGCAGTGGATTTACCCACTATGCTACAGCACTGACCCCCCCCCCCTTTTTTTTTTACAATTTTAATGATGAGCTTAAGAAGTGTAGTTTCTGGCCAGTGCCGCGGCTCACTAGGTTAATCCTCCACTTGTGGCGCCGGAACCCCAGGTTCTAGTCCCGGTCAGGGCGCCGGATTCTGTCCCGGTTGCCCCTCTTCCAGGCCAGCTCTCTGCTGTGGCCAGGGAGTGCAGTGGAGGATGACCCAAGTCCTTGGGCTCTGCACCCCATGGGAGACCAGGAGAAGCACCTGGCTCCTGCCATCGGATCAGCACAGTGTGCCAGCCACGGTGGCCATTGGAGGGTGAACCAACGGCAAAGGAAGACCTTTCTCTGTGTCTCTCTCTCTGTCCACTCTGCCTGTCAAAAAAAAAAAAAAGTGTAGTTTCAGGGGCAGGGATTAGGGATTTTCTTAGAGTCTGCAATCAGGGCTTCCTGACCTTGTTTACGTTTCAGCACCTCTATAACAGGAGTATCTGTATGTGGCTGGAAGTGATCATCCAAGAACTGTGTTTCCTGAGGGGTGCAGTTCTCAGCATTCTGGATGGAAAGTGTTGTTAAGCCCTTCCCTCTGCACACTCTGCTGAAAATTTGAGTTGAAAGCTGCAGTTGGTGGTGGCATTGTGGCGCAGTGGGTTAAGACACCCACATCCCATCTCTGAAGGGCCAGTTCAAGTCCTGGCTGTTCTCCTGATCCAGCTTCCAGCTAATGCATCTTAGAGGCAGTTGTTGGCGTAAGTACTTGGGACTCTGCCACCAACACAGGAGACCCAATGGAGTTTTTGCTCCTGGCTTTGGCTTGGCCCAGGCCGGGCTGTGAAGGGCATTTGGAGACTGAACCACTGGATGGAAGATCTCTGTTTCATTTCTCTCTCGTGTGTCACTCTTTCGAGTAAATACACCTTAAAAAAGAAAAAGAGGCTGGCGCTGCGCTCACTAGGCTAATCCTCCACCTGGGGCTCCAGCACCCCGGGTTCTAGTCCTGGTTGTGGCTCCGGATTCTGTCCCGGTTGCCCCTCTTCCAGGCCAGCTCTCTGCTGTGGCCCGGGAGTGCAGTGGAGGATGGCCCAAGTGCTTGGGCCCTGCACCTGCATGGGAGACCAGAAGCACCTGGCTCCTGGCTTCAGATCAGTGCGATGCGCCAGCTGCAGTGGCTATTGGAGGGTGAACCAACGGCAAAAGGAAGACCTTTCTCTCTGTCTCTCTCACTGTCCACTCTGCCTGTAAAAAAAAAAAAGAAAAGAAAAGAAAAGAAAAGAAAGAAAAAGGAGCTGCAGGTCTTTTAGGGGCGAGACAGCTCTTGCTAGGGCATGAGCTCCTGTAGCACCAAGAGTCAAAACTCATGTAAAAAGGTAAAAAGCTTTTTGAGAGGGTTAATGCAGCTTTCTTCATTTCTTCTATGAGTCCCAACCCATGCTATGTAATATGAGCCTTGTTTTAATAGCAAGTCAGAAGTTGCATCCTGGGGGAGCTTTGCTTATGTATGGCTTTTATGTCAACTGATATGTGAATTAATGCCTTTTAAAAATACTGCTTAGAGGGCTGGCGCTGCGGCTCACTAGGCTAATCCTCCGCCTTGTGGCGCCGGCACACCGGGTTCTAGTCCCGGTTGGGGCGCCGGATTCTGTCCCGGTTGCCCCCCTTCCAGGCCAGCTCTCTGCTGTGGGCGGGGAGTGCAGTGGAGGATGGCCCAAGTGCTTGGGCCCTGCACCCCATGGGAGACCAGGAGAAGCACCTGGCTCCTGACTCCTGCCATCGGATCAGCGCAGTGCGCCAGCCACGGTGGTCATTGGAGGGTGAACCAACGGCAAAGGAAGACCTTTCTCTCTGTCTCTCTCACTGTCCACTCTGCCTGTCAAAAAAATAATAAAAAATAAAAAAAATTCAATTAAAAAAAATACTGCTTAGATCCTAAGTTGCTCAAATGCACCAAAGTATACTACACACACTTGATAATGGTCATTTTGGACCACCTAGATTTCCCAAAAACCGAATACCTTGAAACGTGAACAGCTGTCACTGAGGCGGTCTTGTTGAACAGTTGGAATTCTGCCTATAGTATTAACCCTGTAGTGACTCTGTCCTTGGATCTAGGCAAACACAGTATTTTTTCCTTTCAGCTCTTTGGGATCATTTCTGGACACACTAATAGACATCCAGGAACAATCTGAATGTTATTTATATGTACTTTCTTTTCAAAATGCTAGTGCTCCTCCATCACTATGATTGGTGGTTGAAAATAAGCAGTCTCACATGAGGTGTTTCCATGGTTGTGACCTGACACTAGCACAGCAGTCCCCTCCATCTCAGCCACACCAGCTCTGCCGTGGGAATCCCAATGTAATTCTCCTTTAGATAAGGTGAACCGTGCTCCTCGGATCTGCATGAGTTTGTGAGAGCGCGATATTTTTTTAAAAAAGATTTATTTATTTGAAAGGCAGAGAGAGAGAGAGTTTCATTTGCTGGTTTACTCCCCGAGTGGCTGCAACAGCTAGGGGTAGGCCAAGCTGAAGCCAGAAGCCAAGAGCTTCTTCCAGGTACCTCACATGGGTGCAGGGGTTCAAGGACTTGGGTTATCTTCGCTGCTTTCCCAGGTGCATTAGCAGAGAGCTGGATTGGAGGAGAAGCAGCCGGCACTTGAACTGGCACCCATATGGGATGCCAGCACTGCAAGTGGAGGCTTTACCCACTACACCACAGTCCTGGCCTTGAGAGTAAGGATTCTTAAACAGAGACTGAAGACATCTAGATTGTTCTTTTTTTGTTGTTGTTAGGGATTGATTTATTTGAAAGGCAAGGTTTATTTTTTATTTATTTTTAAAGATTTATTTATTTATTTGAGAGGCAGAATTAGAGAGAGAGAGAGAGAAGAGACAGAAAGAGAGGTCTTCCATCCGCTGGTTCACTCCCCAAATGGCTGCAGTGGCCAGAGTTGGGCTGACCAGAAGCCAGGAGCCAGGAGCTTCTTCTGGGTTTTCCACATGGATGCAGGGGCCGAAGCACTTGGACCATCTTCCATTGCTTTTCCCAGCCCATTAGCAGGGAGCTAGATAGGAAGTGGAGCAGCTGGGATTTGAACTGGTGTCCGTGTGGGATGCTGGCGTTGCAGGTAGCTTTACCTGCTACTTACAACGCTGGCTTCTGTTCTGCTTTTAATAGAGGGCTATGGATAAGACCAGACTGCATTTTAAAACCAAAACAGAATTCACTGAAGTTGTTTCTCAGCTGATCTTTAATGAGTAAAAATAGTCCCTCACCCCACAGATCAAGTGTGCTTCAGTAGCCAACAGCCTAAAAGGAAATTTTTATTTTTCTTGCTCACATGATTGTTTTGGTTTCTTTTTCCTTCTCTGTTCCAACTTCTCTCAGTTCAACATTTGTAACACAGGAAAAGAAACAAATATTTCTCTTCATGCCCAATAAAAAATAGGAGCAAAGATTATATAGATTAAAACAGGATTGTATTAAACATCCATTTTTGTGTTGTAAGGTGAATTTCATTCACTCTGGAACACTCACAAAGGAAAAAGGCAGGCAGGCTAGATTGTAGACTGCTTTACCGTGAACACTCCAAATTGTGCTGGGAGTGCCCATGGCTTCCTCAGGAACACTGTGGCTGGAAACGGCCCGAGGGGTACGTGGTGCCTTAGGTGATGCGGCACCGCACGCCCTGGGCTCCTCCACCAGGCCAGCCCAGCACCGGTCTTCAGTCGAGGTAGAGGTGCTGCTGTGACTTCGCAGGGGAGTGGCAGGCGTTCTCACTGCGTGGTGACGAGCTTCACGATTGTGCTGATGATCCGCGACCCTCGAGGACACGTGCACAGGTCTATGCTCGGGTTTTTAATTTTATCCTGGAGGAGCTGGTCAAGTTCGCAACGAAGTTCCTTTACTAATTCGGCCACCTAAAATGAAAGGTGCAACATAAGTGGTGCTTGGAGCAACGAGAGGACAGGTGATCAGAGGGGAATCTTCCAACTGTGATCATCACTATTTAGATTTCTGGTATTAACTGTAACTCAATCAGGAGGAGAAAACTAAACCCAGTTGCATTCTATAATTTACTACATGAGGTCCATTTAAAAAGTCTCCTCTACCACATCTAATTTAAAGAGATTAGGTTTGGAAGGATGGCTCTTATGTAGTTCTCTCGCTAACTTTTACAATCTGTCCTCAGGGAAGAAGCAGGAAAGTAAAGTGGAGAATTAAAAATGGCAGGTATTTGACAAAACAAAAAAATCTTCAACCTGGGAGACGCTGTGTGCTTGTATGGCATGTTGCTCATGCCGACGCTGTGGTGGCACGTAGGTGTCTCCCCAACTCTGTGTGCCCCTCCTCCACATGCGGCAACCCTGTATTTGGACCTGCTCCAACTCAAACAGGCTCATGCTATGAGACTTGCCAGAGTGAATGGCTCGGGACTCCAGGCCTTTGAGTCCAGGACATCCCTTTGGCCACAGGAATTGGTTTAGGAGGGGAGCAAGAAGCTTTCTTTAGTCCTTGGGAGGGCGTATGCAGCACAGGTGTGAAGTCAGAAACCAGTGCAGCCATCCTGCTACCCATAAGATTAGCCAGGCTTTTGTCATCACTGAGCTGCTGAATTAAACTAACCTCGTCTGGTCCTTGTTACCTGCACTATCCAATACGGCAGCTCTGAGTCACATGTGACTTATCAAATAACCACATGGAATGTGGCCAGTCCAAGCTAAGATCTGATGGAAGTGTAAAGCACACAGCAGATTTTGAAGACTTAGTATGAAAAGAGAAAATAAAATATCGTAATAATTTTTATATTGATCACATGCCTAAGTTAAAACATTTGGATGTATTAGGTTAAATAAAATACATTATGATTAATTTCACCTATTGTTTTTTACTTTTTAAATGAAGCTACTAGAACAATTAAAAGTTACATGTGGCTATTGGACAGTGCTGCTCTAGATGTACAAATATGCCAAGCAGTTTCCTTTAATGTTTAAATTGGTGTTTCTGTTTCTTGCAATGTAAGAATTCCTCTTTTTTTTTGGTGGTGGGGGCGCAGTCCCTTTCATAGGTGTTCTAACAGTTACAAATGTCAAAACGAATTTTGGGGCTGGCGCTGTGGTGTAGCAGGTAAAGCCGCTGCTTCCGGTGCCAACATCCCTTATGGGCACTGGTTCAAGTCCCGGCTGCTGCACTTCCAATCCAGCCCTCTCTATGGCCTGGGAAAGCAGTAGAAGATGGCCCAAGTCCTTGGGCCCCTGTACCTGCGTGGGAGACCAGGAAGAAGCTCCTGGCTTCTGGCTTCAGATTGGCCAGCTCTGGCCGTTGTGGCCAATTGAGGAGTGAACCAGTGGATGGAAGAGCTCTCTCTGCCTCTCCTTCTCTCTCGGTGTAACTCTGACTTTCAAATAAATAAAAAAATCTTCTAAAAAAATGAATTTTTATTTCTTAAACATATACTCCCTTGAAATGTCTCTCACAGAGACCCTACATAATGAACTGAGAGCTGAGCATAAAATAATTCAGATCCATTGTTTTATCATCTAAAATAGTAGTGGTGAATCAGCGTGATTTCATTTATTTACTCTTGTTCATCTGTATTTTGAGATTTTCCTTTGCTGGTGAGTTTATCTTACAGCATTACAAAGGGAGTCCAACACCTCCGCCTCACAGCTTCTGTGCTGACCCTTTCCCACCTCCAGTGTGCCTGTTGGAACTCTTACTGGGTCTCTGCCCTTGGTTCCACTTAGCCTCACTCTTCTCTGTCCCATTGCAGACCCATCATTCACTCTTTATTAGCCCTGCTGTCGCTAAAGGAACACCCTTCACTTCATATTATCAAAGCCCTCATGGCCTGGGCATCACGTAACAGGCCAATTGGCCCTTTACCTGATGGGAAGCAGCTACAAAACGGATCCAGCCGTCATCCAGGGAGACCACGAACTCTCCCCTTTGGAGCTGCACATTCACCTGGCCTCCTCCAAACAGGACCAGCGGGTACACAGACACCATACTGCAGTCTCGGATGAACACTCGACTGGTTTTGATCTTCTCATGGTACAACAGGTAAGGGCTGTCAAAGTGTCTGACCTGTGACATACAACATCAGATGATGACAGTGCTATCGCTGGCAATGCAAGGGGAATCCAACCCGTCCCATGGATTTAAATATTGCCTGTCTACTAAAGACTCCTCAAATTCATCCCCAGCCTGCACCCTGAGCACTCTGATGTGGGATGCTGGTGTCACTAGTGGCTGCTTGACCCGCTGCACCTACTTATTTCTTGCTTGTGTTCCCCATTATAATGTAAGCTCCCTGAGGGCAGAGGCTTGTCTGCTACATCTGTTATCCTCTGTGGACTATAACAGCGCCTGGCACAAGAGTCAGTACCTAGTAGATAGGGAATGGGTGTATGGATGACTTGGATTGTGTCATGGCAAACTCCAAAAAGGAGTGAAGCTAACGCAGGCCTCTGGTTACTAGGAGCTGCGAGATGACCTCCTGACCCTAAGATTCTTTTCAGTGGAAGGAGCTCCTTTTCAAGCTGAGTTGACACTTTCCTCTGTAGTTCCAGGAGGCTGACCAGCCCAAACACATCAACATCAAACTCTCTTCCTCCTTTTCATCTCTCCCGAAAGCTTCATTAAGTATCTGCTTTCAGGGAGGCATCACGCTAGACACTGAGAAGGCAAGAATGAACAGAATCCACTTCCTGTCTGCAGGGACTTCACAGTCCCATGAAGGAGACACCATCATCCAATGTGCGAGTGCAATGGTGGACACAGGTGCACCACATGATGGTGGGTCAGTGTGGAAGTAAAGAGTGACTGAGCGAGGGGGACACTGAGGAAGTGAAAGGAGCTTGTCAGGGTAAAAGAATGTCACTCCAGGCACATTGAACAGTGCATCAAGTGCCATGGCATTGGAGGACACTGTTGTTAGTCTGGTATTGCTGGAGCACACAGAACGTGGCCTAAGATCAGATCAGATGAGAAAGGTCGGGTAAGAACTTGTAGAGTGCTCCATAAATGAAGCTTTAAGCAAGGGACTGACATGGTCAAATGGACATTTTGTAAAGTAATTCTGGGAACTGGCATTGTGGCATTGCAGGCAAAGCTGCTGCCTGAGATGCCAGCATCCCATATGGACGCTGGTTTGAGGCCTGGCTGCTTCACTTCCAATCCAGCTCCCTGCTAGTGTGCCTTGGAAAGCAGCGGAAGACGGCCCAAGTGCTTGGGCCTCTGCACCCACGTGGGAGACTTGAAGAAGTTCCTGTCTCCTGGCTTTGGACAGGCCCAGCTCTGGCCATTGTGGCCATTTGGGTGTGAACTATGAACCAGCAGACAAAATCTCTCTGTGTCTCTCTTTCTCTGTAACTCTGCCTTTCAAATAAATAAATAAATCTTTAAAAAATAAAGCAATTTTGGCACCAGCAGTGGAAAAAATAGGAGCGAGAAAGCACTGGAAGTAAGATTATTATAGTACTTCCAGGAAATGACAGATGTCTGGGGTCTGAACTGTGCAAGCAGTAGTAGGCACAGGAGAGTAGACGAATCTTACAGGTGTCAGAAAGGTGGCCTTGTGGGGCCTGGGTGACCAACTGGATTGCGGTAAGAAGCCTGAAGCAGAAGTCTGTGCGACTTCAGGGTTCACATTTGGATGGTGCTGTTCCCCGACACAGGGAACACAGAAAAAGAAGAATGAATTGAGAGATAATGAGTTTGATTTTTCAGCTTTTGAATTTGAAGTGACTGGAAGACCAGCTGACATTTTCCAACAGGAGATCGTAAAAGAACAAACCAACCAACCAACCCAGCTCTTGAGACACATTCAGGGGTCTTTGTCAGCCGGTAAGGCAGCTGGGACCATGGTGCACCTGTGGCAGTTCAGCAAGAGTATGTACACTTTAGTAAGAAAATAAGGACAAAGGGAGAGAAGCTTGTAAAGGTGATGGGTGGATGTTCAGAGAGGCGGAAGAAAGGGATTTGCAGAAGTGAAAAGAACATCAAAGATAGTTTCAAGAGAGGAGGCTCAACAGAGTCAAATGTCATATAGAGGCTGCTATGAGGAGGAACCTGGAATGCCCACTGGACTGGACAACTGGTGACGCTCGATGAGTGTAGTGGAGGTGGGCTGGGGACAGAAATCTCACAGCAGCAGGCTGCAGGAAGGATGACAGCAAAGGAAGCAGGATCAGTGAGAATAGGTAATTTATTCCCTTTCAAGGCGTAGATTCAGTGATGTAATTAACTCATGATTTCTTAAGTCACCAGTGCACAGAAAAAATTTTACATCTGAAAGGAAGCACAAGCATTCTGTATCCAGTAGAATTTTCTTAAAATGGAAAGAGTCTTTCCAGAAATAATTCATTCAACCTTTTTGAGGTCAGTGGGGCTGCTGGACACAGAAGGTGAGAGAACAAGGTCTGCCTGAATTTGAGGGACTGTGTTCTCAGCCCAGGACCTGCCGTACGTCAGTACAAGCACAGAGCACCGTTCTGACCTGGTAGTTCACTGATGAAGGGTGAATGTGTACGTATCCATCGTTCTTGGTGACAAATTTCAGCTCAGCTGATCTGGGTTGCATTCGGACACCTCCGGTACTGGTTTTCTGGAATTTCCCTTCTGGGGCTTTCACCTACACAAATATTGGTAAAAACAGGTATACTTTTTCATTGTAGGAAATGTCCCTTGATACAAAGCCAGTCTTGTTTGAATACCTTTGTTGTTTCGTGCATCTCTCATTTACTTGCTTCCTTCCTTTCTTTTCTTTCTTTCTTTTTTTTTTTTTTTTTGCCATGCAGAGTTAGTGAGTGAGAAAGACAGAGAGAAAGGTCTTCCTTCCGTTGGTTCACTCCCCTAATGGCCACTATGGCCAGCGCTGCACCGATCTGAAGCCAGGAGCCAGGTGCTTCCTCCTGGTCTCCCATGTGGGTGCAGGGCCCAAGCACTTGGGCCATCCTCCACTGCACTCCCGGGCCACAACAGAGAGCTGGACTGGAAGAGGAGCAACTGGGACTAGAACCCGGGGTGCTGGTGCCGCAGGCGGAGGATTGGCCAAGTGAGCCATGGTGCTGGCCTCAACGTGAATGTTTTTCAAAACACTTTTAAAAGTTATGAATAAGTACTTTGCTTGAAAAAAATGTACATACATGTAAGTGTAGAATTTTTGCAAAACAATGTTTAGAAAATGCGTATTAGTTAAAAAAGGAAAATTAAAATCTGTAATGACATGCTAAGAAACATATCTGATAAATACTTGTTTTCTGCTGGATCTGCCTATATATAGAAATCAAGTCATAAATACATAATAATTTAGGGGCTGGCGCTGTGACACAGCAGGTTGAAACCCTGGCCTGAGGCGCTGGCATCCCATATAGGCACTGGTTCTAGTCCTGGCTGCTCCTCTTCCGATCCAGCTCTCTGCTATGGCCTGGGAAAGCAGTAGAAGATGGCCCAAATCCTTGGGACCCTACACCCACGTGAGAGACCTAGAGGAAGCTCCTGGTTCCTGGCTTCGGACTGACACAGCTCCAGCCATTGCAGCTATCTGTGGAGTGGACCACCGGATGGAAGACCTCTCTCTGTCTCTAGCTCTCTCAGTAACTCTGTCTTTCAAATAAATAAAATAAATCTTTTAAAAAATACATAATGATTTCAATAAAAATATACATATGTATTGAAATCCAAACAGAATTTTAAAAAATAATTTGAAACCCTTATTTTTTTTTTACTTTTTCAAATGCATTTTAATTGTTTTTTTAAACTTTTATTTAGTAAATATAAATTTCCAAAGCATGGTTTATGGATTACGATGGCTTTCCCCCCCATAACTTCCCTCCCACCTGCACCCTTCCCATCTCCTGCTCCCTCTCCCATTCCATTCACATCAAGATTATTTTCAATTATCTTTATATACAGAAGATCAATTTAGTATATATTAAGTAAAGATTTCATCAGTTTACACCCACACAGAACATAAAGTGTAAAATACTGTTTCAATACTAGTTATAGCATTAATTCACATTGGATAACACATTAAGGACAGAGATCCCACATGAGGAGTAAGTGCACAGTGACTCCTGTTGTTGACTTAACAGTTTGACACTCTTATTTATGGCGTCAGTAATCTCCTTAGGCTCTAGTCATGAGCTGCCAAGGCTATGGAAGCCTTTTGAGTTTGCCGACTTTGATCTTATTTAGACAAGGTCATAGTCAAAGTGGAAGTTCTCTCCTCTCTTCAGAGAAAGGTACCTCCTTCTTTGATGGCCTGCTCTTTCTACTGGGATCTTACTCGCAGAGATCTTTCATTCAGGTTTTTTTTTTTTTTGCCAGAGTGTCTTGGCTTTCCATGCCTAAAACACTCTCATGGGCTCTTCAGCCAGATCCGAATGCCTTAAGGGCTGATTCTGAGGCCAGAGTGCTGTTTAGGACATCTGCCATTCTATGAGTCTGCTGTGTATCCCGCTTCCCATGTTGGAGCGTTATCTCCCTTTTTTATTCTATCAGTTAGTATTCGCAGACACTAGTCTTGTTTGTGTGATCCCTTTGACTCTTAGACTTATCAGTGTGATCAATTGTGAACTGAAATTGATCACTTGGACTAGTGAGATGGCATTGGTACATGCAACCTTGATGGGATTGTATTGGAATCCCCTGGCACATTTCTAACTCCATCATCTGGGGCAAGTCTGATTGAGCATGTCCCAAATTGTACATCTCCCTCTCTTATTCCCATTGTCCTGACTGTTGACATACAATTTAATACTTTATCCCTTTTAGTATTTTTTTTTTGTTCTAGTTAATACTATTGGTTGAACTCTGTAATTAACACACAGTTATTCTTAGGTGTTTAAATTTAACTGAAAAGTGAGATCCTTATTTTTAAACCAAATTCTCTAGCCATTATGCTTTCTCAGTTGTTATCAGTCAGATTTCTGGGTGAATCCAAGCAAAAAGATTTTCTCCCAAGCTCATATTATACCTGTTCATGTTTAATTGTTTCTTTCTCTGACAGCTGTCACATGGCCAGAGGTCCAAAGCCAGGGCTGAGGCCACACCCACCTCCCCAGGCTCAGGGAGTGACCAGTAGTGGCCTTCTCCCATCCACACCCACAATTTTATTTTTTGTTTCTACATCTTTAGTCTACTTATTTTTTCTCCCACATTCCTGTTCAAAATATCTTTTTATTTTGAAATAATTATAGAAGCACAGGAAATTGCAAAAAATAGTTCCTTAATGCCCACCCAGCTTCCTTGAAGGGTAACAGTTTAGATAACTATAGTGTAACAGAAAAACCAGCAAATCAATACCTAAATGATTTTTTAAAGTAAATTTCAAATGGCTTAAAAAGCGTGTAAGTGCTAAGCAGAAAATGAGCTGGAAATTAATGTGCAGATTTCAGCTGAGCATCTAACAACAAAGGCAAGACCTTGAGAGATGGCTTGGCACTCGGCCAAATTCAAGTTCTTTCTAAGTTTGAAATGGTCCTTTGTTAGGGCTGGATAATTAAAACGCAGGTAACTGCAAGAGCCCTCAGGTAGGGTTTTCCCAAAATCTGGCCAAAAGTGACCCACAGCAAAACATGGCTTTGTTCTCTAATTTTAGTTCAGAGTGGACGGCTAAATGGAAACCAGGAGAACTGTAGTAGAACCTAACATAGATGGTTCAGTACAAACAGGTTGGCTGACAGAGGTTATCTTAATTTCTAGAATGTCAGAAGGATTATAAAACACCTCATTTTATACGAGTGAATTTTTAAATTTATCTAGCTGTATAAATTTGAGGAACTCAAGGGCTGGAAATGTACACTAAATTTAAAAGGCTGTGTATATGTGTGTGTCTCTGAAGATGGCTAATGTGCACAGCTTAACTTACATTTCTTGACTACAAATCAAACAGGAAATGGAGGGCTCAGAAAAGATGCTTTATTACCTGTACTACATTCGGATACAGAGCAGCACACAGCATTGCTGATATCAGCTTGGGGTTCTCAGCATTTGAGTTTGCCTACGACAGAAACACAGCAACAATCTTACAAGTAATTTCATCAAATAATGTGGCTACTTCTGTATTGAAATCTACCACTATACTTCAGTTGATCTCTATCATAAGATGAAAAAGGAGCATCTAATTTCTCTTTGCTAGAAAAATTATTCCTTTCAAAGCAAAAAACACATCTACCAGGCTACAGTCAGAGAAAACCCTCTTTGTGCAGCCTGTAATGACTTTTTCTAGGTTTCTGCAAAGCAGTTACAAACCCAGCATTCTGAAGGATCAGTGGAGACAGAGACTCTGGTTCACAGAACTTCCTAATAGTGCTAATTGCACTTCAAAGACAGGGGCATCAAGTACATCTTGAAGAAGTGCTCCTCCTATTACATAAAAACCTATCTCCTTGGGTGGAAAAAACGCTGGCCTGATTTCAGAAAACATTGCCAGAAAGTGTATTCTACCTCTTGGGGAATTCATCAAGAGCCAGTGTGATAACTGAAAAATCAAAAACAACAGCAACAATGTTATGGAAAGACAGAAATGTTGGCTGTTGTAGTGGCTCAGTGGGTCAAGCTGCCGCTTGTAAGAAAAGCCAGGAATGCCACCAGACCCCTGCTCCTGGACCAGAAGTGAATTAGAATGGCTATGTGTGTCCCTCAGTTCACATTTTGTTCATGTGCTCATCAAAGAGAAATGAGACTTACGACACATGGTTTACCTCTTCTCCTGTGGCATCTAGGACACCGTCTCCTCCCTGGGCCCTTTTCTCAATTTCCCTTGCTCGGAGTCCCTCCTTTGCAAACCCTATATCCGATAACAGTTCAGTGAATTGTCGTTTGAGGCTGGCCATTTCCTGAAAGAAGTGGAAAAACCTTCAAGCGAGTGTATCACCATTTCAGAGGTAAGTGTGGAGCCTTACAGTGATGAGCGACTCTAAACACTCATCGCTTCAGTGGATTCATATGGACTCATCTTTCAGGTATGAAGGTTAACTTTTAAAAAAAGATTTATTATTTCTTTGAAAGACAGGAATGGCAGAGAGAAGGAGAGACAGACAGATCTTTCATCTGCTGGTTCATTCCCCAAATGTCCACACACAACAGCCAGGGCTGGGCCAGGATGAAGCCAGGAGCCTGGAACCCATCTCAGTCTCCCACATAGGTGGCAGGGACCCAAGTAATTGGGCCAACATTTGCTGCCCTTCCAGGCTCATTAGCAGGAAGCCAGACCTGAAGTGGAAAAGCCTGGACTCCAATGAGCACTTCGATATGGGGGCATCCCAAGCAGTGGCTCAACCTGCGATGTTACTTTCAATGGATCTGGATAGGTGTGATTTTCCTGAAGATTCTCAGGACAGCAAGCAATGTAGTTGATTCTGTCTGAAGCCCAACTCAGAGTGCCGCAGCACTGTCTGCCCCCCAGTTTTCCCTATGTGCATTTCTTCTCAGGTGTGCCCAGCTCCTTACCCATGCCTAGAGTGGTTAATGCCGTCTCTCAATGGAACTCAGAACTTTCTCCTATCTTGTCCTCCTATCTGGCTCACCTTTTCCTAGGCATAGGGACAGTATTAAGCGTTCCAGGCTTAGACACTCTGTTCTGTGGCTGAGCACAAGTACGAGAAGGAGGAGAACAAATCTTTTTCTCTCAGAGCTTCTGTGCAAACACTGCTGCACATCAGACCCAAGCAGACGAGGATAATGGAAGCAATGCTAGCCTGTCTCTAAATGCCAACTTAGGTGTTTTCCTGCAATGACTCAGGACATTCTGGATAACAATGAGTTAAATATGGTCATACCAGAACCTTCATTTCATGACAAGGTTTTAATTGAGAGCTTAATACAAATAATGTAATAAGTAATATTAAGCTACAGTTTAAGCTGGAGTTTACTGAAAAGAGGGGATCCTTATTTATTTTTGAAGGATTTAATAAATTACAGCAAAATCTACATATGTCATTTAGAAAAAAAATGAATAAGAAATATAATTTAAAAGGAATTTCCTCATTTTACACTCACAAATCTTTTTAACAACTTTTTAAAAAGATCTATTTATTCCAGATGCAGAGAGAGAAATAGAAGCTCCTATTTGCTGGTTCACTCCCCAAATGCTTGTAATGACCATTACAGGGCTGAGACAGGGACCAGAGCCAGAATCAGTCCAGGTCTCCCATGTGGATGGCACAGACCCAACCATTCGAATCATCTCCACCCCACCTGCCTCCTACCTCCTAGGATCTATGCTGGAGAAAGCTGGACTTCAGAACTGGAGCTGAGAATCAAACTCAGGCACTCTGATATGGGACACAGGTGTCACAAATGCATCTTAACTTTTAGGCAAAATGCCCCCTCCTCATTTTATTCTGATCCAGAAATTCTCTGTGTGTGTGTACTTAGAAATCTTACTAACTCCAGAAAACACTTACTACTGCACTGTACATATGAATACCCTTACGTCAGTGGTTTCCACCCTGGCTGCACAATACTACACACACTTGGTAAACCCAACAACAGCAATAACAATCAGTAAGCCCTGGCCTAGACACAGATTTAACTGGCTTGGGGAGGGGCCTGGCATTTTTACGTATTTTTTAAAAGCCTCCTCAGGTGAATCTAAGGGACAGTGAGGATTGGAAACCATTGCCTTTGAAGCAGTTAGAATAAAGCTACAGTTCTTGTCTTCCCAAAATGTCTCATTGCAGTATAGCTAAAGGGAGTGGAGGGAGGCAGGGTGGAGTCCTGGCTCCTCTACTTTGGATTCAGGTCCCTGCTAATGCGCTTGGGAAGGCAGCAGACGGTACACGTAGTTGGGTCCTTGCCACCCATATGGGAGATGAGGATGGGGTTCCAGACTCCTGCCTTCACCCTGGCTTTCAGGGCCATTTGTGGAGTAAACCAGCAGATGGAAGATTTAAAGTGTCTCTGTCACTCTGCCTTTTAAACAAACCTTAAAAGTAGGGGAGAATGAAGGCAAATCCTGGGATAGTTTTCAGATCTCTTACTTTCCTTAAATAATCAGATTCACTCACCATGCAATTATTCAATAAATTTACTAAATGCCAAATCTGCTAAGTACTGTTTTAGGCATTGGGGATACAGTGCTGAACAAAGCTGGTGAAGTCTCTGTTCTGATGGAGATTATGAGACAGAGAGATAAATAAATGTGAGGCAGTGGTAAATGTCACGAACATTACTTTTGTGCTCTCCATGACATGTCAACATGCAATATGAAAATAAAGTCCTTCCCTCTCCCCAGCCCCCAAATCTGAGCACACCAGATGCTTTGCAAAAATGTGCACCGTCGTTTTGGCTTCTTACACCATTTTGGAAGGAGGCCTACAATACTGCCACAACATAAGGGACAAAAGCCCTAGTTATTATTACACAGAAGAGAATAAGCCTTTCTGTTTATTACTGATAGATGGTAGGTTTGGGTGGACATGAGAAAAATTAAAGAAAATTTACTTCAGTATTAGTTTTTTGGTTTCCAGGAGAGAATAAGGGGATCAGGAATGATCATTGCCTCCTTTGAGAATCTATGAAAACCATAACCTTGCTCTAAAATAATGTACGTGTATCTACACATGAAAATTTGTATATAGTTTCAGGGGTTTATGGATCTGGGTTAAGACCGTATGGTGGGGCCGGCGCTGTGGCGCAGTGGGTAAAGCCGCTCCTGCAGTGCCAGCATCCCATATGGGCGCCAGTTCGAGTGCTGGCTGCTTCACTTCCAATCCAGCACTCTGCTATGGCCTGCGAAAGCAGTGGAGGATGGCCCAAGTCCTTGGGCCCCTGCACCCATGTGGGAGACCTGGAAGAAGCTCCTGGCTCCTGGCTTTGGATTGGCACAGTAATTGAACCAGTAGATGGAAGACTCTCTCTCTCTGCCTCTGCCTCTCTGTAACTCTGCCTTCAAATAAATAAAATAAATCTTAAAAAAAAAAAAAAAAAAAAAGAATGTATGGTATAGGGGCCAGCAATGTAGTGTAGCAGGTTAAGTTGCAGCTTCTAACACCAGCATCCCATATCAGAGTGCCAGTTTAAGTCCTGGTTGCTTCACTTATGATTCTGCTTCCTGCTAATGTGTCTGAGAAAGCAGTGGAAGATGGCTCAAGTCCTTAGGCCCCTGCTACCCATATGGGAGAACTTTTTATTTTTTTAAAGATCTATTTATTTGAAAGAGTTCCAGAGAGACAGTGGAGGTGGGGAGAGAATCTTCCATCTACTAGTTCACTCCCTAGATGGCTACAACAGCCAGGGCTGGGCCAGACTGAAGCCAGAAGCCAGGAGCTTCTTCCAGGTCTCCTACATAGATAGCAGGGGCCAAACACTTGGGCCATCTTGTGCTGCTTTTCCCAGGCCATTATCAGGGAGCTGAATGGGAAGTGGAACAATTAGGACACAAACTGGTGCCCATACTGGGATGCCAATGTCACGGGCAGTTGCTTTACCTGCTATGCCACAATGTCAGCCCCTTGTATGTTACAAGGTTTCTTTTTATCAAAGACTATGTGGGAAATCTGGAATGTAGTTCCAGCCTCCAGGCTTTGCCCTGGCCTGGCCCAGCCTTGGCTGTTGTAGACATTTGGGGAGTAAACCTGCAGAAGAAAGATCTCTGTCTCTCCCTCTCTTTGCATTTCAAAAAATCCTGTTTGTTTGTTTGTTTTAAAGATATATAATTATTGAAAAAACTGACATCTATAAGCAGTCATCAACAAAGTGTCTATATTCTACACAGAAGTAAACACAGATTCACCAAAGCAGATTGGTTAAAAGGTTCAGCACACAGGGCCCGAGGCCACAGTTCAGGAGTCCATTTTACACAGCTGGTAAGGCCACGCAGATTTCAGAAATAATCTTTCCAATGTCAGGATGGGACAAAGCTAAAGCTGCAGCGCCCTCTAGTGAGCCACTGGAGCAGGAAAGGAATGACAATGAACTGCCACAGAAGCAACTCACCTGGAGAACTCTTCCTGACAAGAAGTTCTGTCTGCAGTAGCTATGGCTGGCACGCAGTCCTTCTTTCGTACTTAGCCGCCACCCCTGAGTTTTGGAGAAAATCAAACGGAACTTATTCTGTCTTTGGTGCCTACTGTAGAAATAGACCAAAGCCATTAGGTTACATACTTACCTCATATGCTCGCAGAAGGGCCAGATAATCACTGTTGGCGAATGCAAATTCCAGCTTCTTCTGGTTAGCCTCCTCTTTTTTATCCCAGGGAGACACCTAAATGAGGAAAAGCCGATCTGAAGGTCACATTTTATCTGAGGTTTCAAACGACACTTTGCTATTGCTGCAGCCAGCTGCCTTGGGAAAGTACTTTATGTGGAACAAAGCGCACTCAGTGGGTCAGCAGGTTAGAGGCGACCACAGCGATAACCAGCAGTACACTGTTACATCTGCCCTGGGGTCTGTCTGTCCACCACACTGCTCCTCTGGCTCTTTTGGTTTCGAATGACAAGAGTCATCAAAGAGCCACTTGTTCCAAAATCTAGATTTAAAATCAAACATTCTGTTATCTCTGTGGTGTCTTTATTATACAAGCTCTTGTTCATCTTTTATACCCATAACTAATGTTTTCCTCTGATTTAAAATTAATGTTAACATGTCCAGCATTTGCCTACAAACCTGTAAAAATCAGCAAAGTTGATTTTTCCTGCTTTCTTATCCCCAACATATGCTAATTTTTTAATCCAATGATGCTGGAGTGCTCAGGCTCTGCTGACACCAGCAAAAGCTGCAGTGGTTCCTCACGGAAGCTAAACGAAGGCCCTGTCTAAACATGATAAGCCATGGTAAAAAGAAAAATAGATCGACAGTCCATCCAACAACAGCAGGCATCCACTTTCTTTTCTTTCTTTTTTTTTGCCGTGGCTCACTTGGTTAATCTTCTGCCTGCGGTGCCGGCATCCCATATGGGCGCCAGGTTCTAGTCCCGGCTGTTCCTCTTCCAGTCCAGCTCTCTGCTGTGGCCCGGGAAGGCAGTGGAGGATGGCCCAAGTGCTTGGGCCCTGCACCCATGTGGGAGGACTGGAAGAAGCTGCTGGCTCCTGGCTTCAGATCGGCGCAATGCCAGCCGTAGTAGCCATTTGGGGAGTGAACCACCGGAAGGAAGACCTTTCTCTCTGTCTCACTGTCTATCTGTCAAATAAATAAAAAAAAAAGATTTATTTTTTTATTTGAAAGTCTGAGTTACAGGGAGAGAGAGGGAGAGGGAGAGGGAGGGAGGGTGAGGGTGAGAGAGAGAGAGAGAGAGAGAGGTCTTGCATCCGCTGGTTCACTCCCTGATTGGCTGGCAACAGCTGCAGCTACGCCAATCTGAAGCCAGGAGCCAGGAACTTCTTCAGGGTCTCCTGCATGGGTGCAGGGGTCCAAGGACCTGGGCCATCTTCTATTGCTTTCCCAGGCCATAGCAGAGAGCTGGATGAAAGTGAAGCAGCAGAACTCAAACTGGCACCCACATGGGATGCTGGCACTGCAGGTGGCAGCTTCACCCGCTACGCCACAGTGCTGGCTCCAGGCTATCCACTTTCCTGAAGCACACTATCCACACAGACCACATACCTGACCATAATATGAAGCTCAGTACGTTTTAAAGGACTGAAACAATGTAAAACATGGCCTCTGACCACATAGGCTGAAATTAAAAATCAGTAACAGAAAAAAACTGAGGGATTCACAGATATTTGGAAATAAAAGATGCCTAAATAACTAATGAGTCAGAAGAAATAAAAAGGGAAATCAGAAAATACTTTAAGATGAAGAAGGGGCAGGCATTTGGCCAAGTTAGATGACGGCTGGGACACGTGCATCCCATACTGGAACGCTGGGTTCAAGTCCAGCTCCACTCCTAATTCTACCTTCCTGCTAATACAGAACAAGGAGGCAGCAGGTGACAGCTGATGCAGTTGGGTCCCAGCTACCTATGTGGGAGACCTTCACTGAATTCCCAGCTTCTGGATGGGGCCTAGCCCAGACCTGCCTGTTGCAGGCCTGATGTGTCTGCACTTCTTTGGCTCTCAAGTAAATAAATAATTTTTTTTTAATTTTTTATTTTATCTATTTTTTTTTGACAGGCAGAGTGGACAGCGAGAGAGAGACAGAGAGACAGGTCTTTCTTTTTGCCATTGGTTCACCATCCAATGGCCACCACGGTCGGCGTGCTGCGGCCGGCGTACTGCGCTGATCCAAAGGCAGGAGCCAGGTGCTTCTCCTGGTCTCCCATGGGGTGCAGGGCCCAAGCACTTGGGCCATCCTCCACTGCACTCCCTGGCCACAGCAGAGAGCTGGCCTGGAAGAGGGGCAACCGGGAAAGAATCCGGCGCCCCGACTGGGACTAGAACCCGGTGTGCCGACGCCGCAAGGCGGAGGATTAGCCTAGTGAGCCGCGGCGTCGGCCTCAAGTAAATAAATAATTTTTAAAGCAAGATGAATAAAAACAAAGGCACAGTATATGGAAACTTGTATGATGCAGTTAAAGGTTCTTAGAAGAAAACCGATAGTGGTAAATGCCTGTATTAAGAAAGATGTCAAAACTGAAACCTAGCCTTCTGGGAAAGGAAGAGCTAACTAAACCTAAAGTAAGCAGAAGGCAGGAATGATAAAGTAAGAACAGGTATTAATAGAGAATCTAGAAAAATTTTGAAAAATCAATGAAATCCAAAATTCATTCTCTTTAAAGAACAAAATTGACAAACCTTTGATTGACCAAAAATAGAAAAAGAGAAAGCTCAAGTTACTAGTCAAATTCCCATAATTAAAGTGGGGACATTACTAACCTCATGCAAACATAAAGGAATACAATGAATAACTGTATGCCAGTAAATCATAACAACTTCGATGAAATAGACAAAACCAACAAAACTGACTCAAATGGAAATAGATAATCTCGGGGTCAGTGTTGTTGTGTAGAGGGTAAAGCTACCACCTGCAATGCCAGCATCCTGTATGGATGCCGGTTTGAGTCCCAGATGCTCCACTTCCAATCCAGGTCCTTTCTAATGTTCCTGGGAAAGCAGCAGAAGATGGCCCAAGGGCTTGGGCCCCAGCACCCATGTGGGAGACCTGGGAAAAGCTCCTGGCTCTTGATTTTGGGCCAGCCCAGCTTGGGCTGTTGCAGCCATTTGGGGAGTGAACCAGCAGCTGGAAGATCTGTCTCTCCCTCTCTCCTCTTTTTGTGTAACTCTGCCCTTCAAAGAAATAAATAAATCTTTAAAAAGAAGAAATACATCTGAATAGATCTATAACAAGCAAAGAAATTGAGTTAGTAATCAAAAAACAAAAAAGCAACAACTAGGTCCAGGTGGCTTCACACTGAATTCTACTAAATATTTAAAGAATTAACAGTAATTCTTTATAAACTCTTTCAAAAATCTAAGTGGAAAGAAAATTTCTCAACTTATATTATGTAGCAAGTATTAACCTGATAGCAAAACAAAGACATCACATGAAAACTACAGCCAATATAGATACAAAATAACAAAATATTAGCAAGGGGTAATAGGGGAGTTACAGCTAAGAAATTTCTTTTTAAAATTTTATTTATTTATCTGCATTTCATTTGAAAGCTAGAGGAATAAGAGAAAGATTTTCTATCCATTGGTTCACTCCCCAGATGCCCACAAACTGAAGCCCGGAAGTTGGAACTCAATTCAGGTCTGTCACATGGGCAGCAGGGACCCAAGTACTGGAGTCACCATTTGCTGCTTCCCAGGGTATACATTAGCAAGAAACTGGATTCGAAGCCAAGAGAGAACCCACACTGGGCTCTTGGATATGGGATGCTGGTGTTCCATGCAGTGTGTTACCCACCCCCAGCTAAGAGGGGTGAATTGAATTGCACACTTTAAAATTGCTTTAAGGAGTGAATCAATATATTATTGACCACCCCCCCCCCCCTTTTTGACAGGCAGAGTGGATAGTGAGAGAGAGAGACAGAGAGAAAGGTCTTCCTTCGCCGTTGGTTCACCCTCCAATGGCCGCCACGGCTGGCGCGCTGTGGCCGGCGCACCGCGCTGATCTGAAGGCAGGAGCCAGGTGCTTCTCCTGGTCTCCCATGGGGTGCAGGACCCAAGCACCTGGGCCATCCTCCACTGCACTCCCTGGCCACAGCAGAGAGCTGGCCTGGAAGAGGGGCAACCGGGACAGAATCCGGCGCCCGGACCGGGACTAGAACCCGGTGTGCCGGTGCCGCTATGTGGAGGATTAGCCTATTGAGCCGCGGCGCCGGCTATTATTGCCCTTTAAAATCATTCAGGGGCACCTTTGGCTGGTTTTCATTTTCTAATTTTTCTTTAATGAGCAAGGACAGCAGACATAATAAAAAGCACATCTCACTTATTTTTAGTAAGTCAGGTCTCTAGTTGCTTAGTCGTTCTTTAGGGCATGGAACTCTTTGAGGATCAGATGATACTGTGCCCTGAAAAAATTCAAATCCAACATTCTCAGAAGCAAATCTGTAGGAGATTAATCCACCCGTAAAGCCCCCATGGTTCCTTGAGAGACCTCAGGTATACACGCCCGTCTAGATGATGCTGTTCACTTACAAAAGGAGACTTAAAGGCCAAACTGGCGGCGATGGTGAGAGCAGGATCCAAACAGCGGAAGATAGACCCAAACAGCATGAGTTTGCCGATTCTCACGTCCACAGGCAGAGAGGCCAAGTGATACCCGAGAGGTGTCAACTTTTCATCTGGAGTCAAAGCTCCCAAGTCTCGTAATCGTATTTTCGAGGCACGGAGAGAATCAGAGTGTGGAGGCTCAATGAGCCGAGAAAACACAGATTGGAGATTGTGTGTGCTAAACATCTCCAAGATTTTAATTCTGAAAAGAAGAAAAATAAGTAACTTGTCAATTTTATTTCTGGTGGGATGACACTAAGAAATAATTTCGTTCTTGAATAAGAATAATCTACGGTTTTCCACAGAGGCTTCTATAAATCATACAATGCTAGTTTAAATAAAAAACTTAAAATCTCTTAAGTCTCTCAAATCCCTTTACTCCTGTTCATGTGCACTGCTTCTACCTTAGTTCAGGGCATCAGCTCCTCACCCCCAATTTTTTTTTAAAGATTGATTTGTTTATTTGAAAGTCAGTTACACAAAGAAGAGGCGGGGGGGGGGGAGAGAGAGAGAGAGAGAGAGAGAGAGGTCTTCCATCCGCTGGTTCACTCCCCAACTGCCGCAATGGCTGGAGCTGCGCATACCCGGGAGCCAGGAGCCAAGAGTCCCCTCCAGGTCTCCTATGCAAGTGCAGGGGCCCAAGCACGTGGGCCATCCTCCACTGCTTTCCCAGGCCACAGCAGAGAGCAGGATTGGAAGTGGAGCAGCTGGAACTCAAACCAGCGCCCATATGGGATGCCAGCACTACAGGCGCTGGCCCCACCCCCAATTTCTTAAGACTAGACAATGGACACTTGAAAAAAGCAGGAAATGTTCTTGTATCCTACAGTATTCCTAGTGCTTAGCCCTATGCCTGACAAATGGGAGACTCTCCAAATATACCCCCTACATAAAGAAGAGTTGTAACATCTTCATACATATAACTTTTTTCCCCTTTGGGTTATTTTTCTATGGGTATACTCCCTCATGGAAATGAGTTGGTCAAAGGGTAGGAACAGTTTTAGAAGTTCCTTAATATATCACTAAGAAAATTTTCATTAAGATTAAATCAAGGGTTCTCTAGTCTTAACATGTATGTATTGTATGATCAGTCACTCATGAAATTCTATTTTATCAGGTAAATAATGATGTTTTCAAGTTTCATTCACTTTGCTCTAGCTGATAATGAGGCTGCAGAATTTTTCCTGGGATTATTTGATATTGATTTTGCCCCCAGCAGAAAATCCTTGATAAGTTAGATTATTTTCCCTTATAAAGATTTATTTATTTAAAAGGCAGAGTGACAGAGAGAGAGAGAGGAGAAACACAGAGAGAGAGATCTTCCATCTGCTGGTTCACTCCCCAAATGGCCACAACAGCACGCCTGAGCCAGGCCACAGCCAGGAGCTAGGAATTCCATCCTGGTCTCCTACAAGGGTAGTGGGGGCCCAAGTACTTGGGCCATCTTTTCCTGCCTTCTCAGGCACATTAGCAGGGAGATGGATTGGAAGCAGAGCAACCAGGACTCAAACCAGCACTCTGATGTGGGAAGCTGGTATCTCAAGTGGTGGCTTAACCTGCTGCACCACAATGTTGGTTCCTATCCTCCTTTATAAACGTGTTCTTAACTATTGTAGGGCCATGTTTTGTAGTATAAGAGATCTTTATGTCCAGAAAGTAAAGAAGAATGGCAAAGGCAACACTGAAGAGCTCTTTCTTTGCAAATGAATGAGTTCATCCATGTCTGCTCATAGCAAAATATCTGCTGCTGGGAAAAGGAAACATGGGATGAGAAACATCTGGACCTTCTGGAAGCACAACACAAGAACGAAGACGTAACCTTAGGCACAGCTGTTCCAGCGGCACTCTTTGTATCTCTGGTAACTGCTGTTTTAAGAGCTGGTGATTGTAGTGATGGCTGGTGAACAAATGGAAGCAGACCCCAGACGCAACACGGCCCGCTCGACCCTTTCTCTGCAGAGCATTGGCCTGAGATACGAAAGTATCCTCTAGACTCTCCATCCCTTTGCTGGCATCATATCTATAAAGAAAAATATAAACCGAGTTATTTAAAAAAAAAAAAGTGGCCAAGACTATTTGGCATGGATGGAATAGACAAGCCACCTTACTTCTACAGAAGAACACAGCACCCTGTGTGTGTTCTGGGATAGCAGAGTCCCTGGTGGGAGCAGCTAGTCTGATTTAAATGGTACCGAGTGCTACTACATACTTTATCCAACCCTTTGCATCCAAGCACGTGTAAAATCACATGAGGAGATAGAGGAAAGTAAATCACGACTTGCCAGTTAAAACCTTAACCTTTCTACCCCTAGTTAACTTTAAGATTTATGGTCCTGGCTATTGAATTACTTGCACATCCATGTGCACTTTCCATGAAGTATTTTTTGAAACCATAATCCATATAGCTTAACAGCTTTAGCTGTTAATAGCTGTCACCCTAAATGAGGCATCGTTAATCCCTCTCTTACATCATCAAAGACAATACCTTTTTTCTTTCATTTTCCCAGAATCAATGACATAGACAACATCATCGATGGTTATGGAGGTCTCAGCAATGTTGGTGGAAATTATAATCTTAGTTACACCTAAAGGAGGTTTTATAAACACAGCCTGCTGTTCTTCACTGGATAAAGACGAATGAAGTGGGTGAATAACACATCTGAAAGGAAATAAAACCACATTAAGTACTGCAGCAAAAAGCACTGAAATTGGATTTCAGGGGATTAATTTCTATTAAAACCAATGATATGACTCTAAATATTAGAAGTTTCTCTGTAAGCAGGCCTCAAGGCCCAGCTCATCTCAAAGAGAAGGTTCTTTCTGAGCCTCACTAAATATTTACTCAGTTCTAGGAACTGAAACTTAAATTGACTTGGGGAAAATGCTGATGTGTAATTCAGAAGTAAATAATCTGGGGCTGGTGCTGTGGCATAACAGACAGAGCCACCTCCTGCAGTGCCGGTATCCCATACGGGCACCGGTTTGAATCCTGGCTGCTCCACTTCTGATCCAGCTCTCTGCTATGGCCTGGGAAAGCAATAGAAGATGGCCCAAATCCTTGGGCCCCTGCACCCACATGGGAGACCCAGAAGAAGTCCGGGCTCCTGGCTTCAGATTGGCCCAGCTCCAGCTGTTGCGGCCAATTGGGGAGTGAATCAATGGATGGAAGACCTCTCTCTGCCTCTCTTTCTCTCTCTGTGTACAACTCTAACTTTCAAATAAATAAATAAATCTTTAAAAAAAAAAGAAGTAAATAATCAAGAGGAATAAATAACTGATATTCTACAAGTTATAAACGTAGAGCAAACTAACCAGCAAAGCATGTTTTCCCTACTCTTAAATCCAGAGAAAGAGAGGCAAAAACAGTGACAAAATGAAGCTAAGAAATGTCAATCTTGTGATTTCTAGGCAGTGCTCATTTGGTTGTGGTTGGAATAGGAACTGTTTGAAAATGATTCCCTCTCAAAATGGCAGCACTTCTCTGCTGTTAATAATGCTGGCTTTGCCTCTACTTCCCCCCTCCCCTCCCTGGAATCTGGAAAGTGAAATACAGGCAAGTTTGCTGAGTCACTATGCTAAGAGAAGGGAAATAGTTTGCTTTAATGGAATGGGAATAAATGATTTCTTGGAGCAAACAGGTTTGTCCATTTCCAGCTGGCATGAACACCTATGCGCCTGAAGAGTGACGCCAGGGTCTAAAAAGGGTGAGGACTTCTGGTTATTCATCTGTGCAGATAACCACAATGGCTGACTAAGGAAACAGTTGGCTTACCGGTTACTTCGTCTGTTGTTGAAAAGAGAATTAGACTGCAGCTGTTCATAAAGCATTTTGATTTCTGCTAGTCCTGGTAAAAATACAAGTATAGCACCTGGGCATACAAAAAGAATCAATAAGATAAGTGCAAAAAAGGAAAAACTAATATAAAGTTATTTCATACTAAAGAAAGCAATAATCTTAGAATTTTTCACTCTGTTTTCTTTCCTTTGTAAAGTCCCCAAGGATTTAAATGAATAATAAGTTATCTTTAATACATTCTCTGACTTAAAAGGACAAAAGGAGTACTATTATTCTTCTGTAACAGGGAAAGCTGAGGTGTGGAAGACTCTGATGCCTTAAGTTGCACAAGAGCCTTCAGTTAAGCCCTTTAAACACATCATACGCTGGCCAGTGACATTCTGTGTCTCGGGGAAGAGCTCCTTCTAACCTTTGAAGACAAGACTCTTCTCTCTATTAATAACTAAAATCCATAAACATTTTACTGGAAATGAGAAAAAGAGACTACCACCGGCAGGCCCGTCTCATCATCTAAATTCAGATATATTTTAAAGAGGCAGAACATTAACTGACCACATCCTATTAACAGTTAATGCAATTCTAAGTTTTATATCGAAGAAAATAAGCAGTGATAACTGATTACAGTGTACTTCTCTCTCCAGAGCAGACACGCTTACCTTCTTTTGTGCTTTATTCAAAGAGAAAATTGTTCCCCTATTCCCCTCCCCTCCCTTCAATATCACAGATATTTTACAGGGTACCACGTCAGCTCTGTGAGAAGTACAATGGGATATAAAGCAAGGATCTGCCCGCGATGAACTTATGACCTATTATTGTGTTGCTGTTATTCAAGCCCAGTAAATAAAGAATCTAAATCATTACAAAACAGAACCCCAGTGTAAGAAGGCCAAAAGAGATCTTGCAAGGTTGTTTTTGATAGTAGACCGCTTGCATATATTATCTCATTTGATCCTCCTAGCTGTCCATTAAGATTATTAGGACCCCAAAGAGTGACTCATTAACTTGGTCAGGTCACAGGCTTAACAAGCATAGGACCTGGACACAAACCTAGGGATTCTGGCACCAGATCCATCCTCTTTCCTTCATATACCCCATGGGATTCTCTGCTAAAATGCTACAAAATTTAAGAGTGGTAAATAGTCTATATGGATGGAAATAATTTTTTCCTGTAGTTTTATGTCTTATGATCTGCTCTACTCTCATGGCTTGGTCATCTGTGTCAGGGATACCTTTAATATTCACAGATGTATTGCTGACTCCCTAATCACTGTATCCGCTTTGCTGTGAGTTCAGGTGCCTAACATTTCTTTTGGGCTGATAAGGTTGATTTTTTTCAATAAGAATCATTTCCTTTGGGATGGAACAAGAGATTCAATTTAGTGATAGTGCATTACCACTGGCCACTTGTAAGGGTAGGGAAACAAGGCACTTGAATGACTTTATAAGGCTCACAAGTCACTTTAGAAAATACCACATAATGACGAAAGGCCAAGCAGAAGAGGGCAGCTGTTCCTATTTCTCTAAAGTACCAAGTAATAAGCACAGTGAGTGGTTTTTAAAATCTGTTATTCCTTTTAGTGATTGCCCATGATCCACTCGTACAACAAGTATTCACTCTGTACCTAAATGTTTCAGGCACTGTTCTGGGGTATGAGAAATACAGTGGGGAACAAGAAATCCCTATTCTTAATGACCTTACTTTCTCCTGGAGGAGACAGTCAGCAAGAAAACCTCTAACTCAGACAGTGTCAAGTGCTAAATGAAAATGAAAATTGTTAGATATTATGGGAGGGTAAGTGGGGGTAGCAGGAGGAAAACAAAGTTGTCTGTAGAGGTGACATGGCAGCTAAAACATGAATAATGTGAACAATTCAGTTATGAGAAGATCTGGAGTACTCATTCTGGTGGTGAGGGACTGCAAAGGAGGTGAGAAGGCCACTGTGACAGGGAGATTGCACGTAAGGGAAAAGAAGTGATTACTGTGTGTTAACAGTAGCAACTGTAGTAACAGTGATACAACAGTAAGTATATTATCATATAGTCATTATTAGAGGTACTAACTACTGGACATTAATTATATGTGGGGCATTCCGTTAATTGCTTTACATACATGGTTTCTGTCCATCCTCAGAATAGCTCTACATGAGAGCATTTATTTTTGTCTTCATTTTACAAACAAGGAAAATGAAGCATAGAAAAGATAGGGACTTTATTCCTGGGTAGAGTTAGGAGGTTTATCGGATTCCAAAAACCACTGTATGCACCAAGGTTGCATGGGGCCCAAACTACTCATGATGAGACTCAGCCAGGGACTAAGCGTTTGGAGCATTCAGCCTGAGTGAAGAAGCAATTACCTGGAGGGTAGGAGTGCTTTCCATCCACAATCCACTCCAGTAAGGCCTCTATTAGTTCAAGATTAACCTTGTCAAAATCCATGACGGACATAGTTTTGATGACTGATTTGCTAACCCCTGAAAGAAAGGTAAACATCAGGACAATTACACATTATGAAGACAATATGCCTGTGAACTAGGTGAGTGCTGATTTAATAACAGATGTTTGCATCCAACATACTGAAATGAAAATTTTTTTTTTTTTTTTTTTTTTTTTACAGGCAGAGTGGACAGTGAGAGAGACAGAGAAAGGTCTTCCTTTTGCTGTTGGCTCACCCTCCAATGGCCACCGTGGCTGGTGTGCTGCGGCTGGCGCACCGCGCTGATCTGAAGGCAGGAGCCAGGTGCTTCTCCTGGTCTCCCATGGAGGGCAGGGCCCAAGCATTTGGGCCATCCTCCACTGCACTCCCTGGCCACAGCAGAGAGCTGGCCTGGAAGAGGGGCAACCGGGACAGAATCCGGCGCCCCAACCGGGACTAGAACCCGGTGTGCCGGCGCCGCAAGGCAGAGGATTAGCCTAGTGAGCCGCGGCACCGGCCTGAAATGAACTTTTATCTTCTAGTCTCTGAGAAAATACAATGTCGCCAGAAGCTTTTTTTTGCTTGAACAAAATAACCCAAAGAGCAAGCTCCTGGCCCTGTGGGAAAGGCATAGATGGACCACTCAAAACTCTCCTCCTTCTTCCCCTCTTTTATTCATCACATATTTATTTAAAGTTTAAGTTCTGGAAACAAAGATCAAAGTCAAGCAGATTTTAGATTTTAGATGGACTCCTTCCAGAGTCAAATCATGAGTCAGATGGAAATCAGTAGACAGAGATCACAGGTTCACGGTCATTAATCATGACTCTTAAGCTTTAGGTTCCTTGGAGAAAATGATGGAAGTGGTGGATCTTTCCTGAAAAACATAAGTGATTTTAACTGTTTCACCAACACTCCTGGAATCTAACCAGAGACCCTCAGTTTACCAGTGTATAATCTCCTTCCAATCTATCTGAGGACTAAGTAAAAGCACAGTTCTTGGGTTGTACTCCAACCCTCAGCTCTTTTAACAAATATCTCTGGGTGACTAATTCTCCAAAAACAGCTGCCCTTGCTTCTTGGCTCCTCCTTAATGGCCCATGACCCTAACTATGGTCTGACTAGAACAAAATAACTGGAGTTGGTATCAGGAAAGAGAAACATTCTATATGTTGGTGGGAACTCTGAGAGGGGCAAAAGCAGTGTCTAAACAATGTTATCTGACAGGGTGAATCCCACATTGGTCAAAATGGGAGAAAGAGCCTGCCTACAAAAACAAGAGTGTGGTTGGGTGAAGAAGGCACAGTAGGAATCACTTTTCTTTAGGAAGATTCCAAACAGCCAGATTTTTTTTCAAAAAGAAAAAGGACCAGCTAACTGAAAAAAGTAGAGAAGGTAGAACAGTTTTGTTATTTTTAAAAAAAACCCACAAAACAATAGTTTGATAGTTTTAACTAATCAATAATATACTTAAAGACTTGGTTAATTTTTTTTCTTTTTTAAATATTTATCATCTGAATTTATTCCAGGACTGATTATCTTATTTATTTATTTATTTATTTAATTTATTTTGACAGGCAGAGTAGACAGTGAGAGAGAGAGACAGAGAAAGGTCTTCCTTTTGCCGTTGGTTCACCCTCCAACGGCAGCCACGGCTGGCGCACTGCACTGATCCGATGGCAGGAGCCAGGTACTTATCCTGGTCTCCCATGGGGTGCAGGGCCCAAGTACTCGGGCCATCCTCCACTGCACTCCCTGGCCACAGCAGAGAGCTGGCCTGGAAGAGGGGCAACCGGGACAGAATCCAGCACCCCGACCGGGACTAGAACCCGGTGTGCCGGCGCCGCAAGGCGGAGGATTAGCCTAGTGAGCCGTGGCGCCGGCCTATTTATTTATTTTTTATTTAAAACATTTAATTTATTTATTTGAAAGACAGAGTTACAGAAAGAGGTAGAGACAGAAAGAGAGGTCTTCCATCTGCTGGTTCATTCCAGAAATGGCCGTGATGGCCAGAGCTGAGCTGATCCAAAGCCAGGAGCCAGGAGCCTCCTCCACGTCTCCCATGTGAGTGCAAGGGCCCAAGCACCTGGACCATCTTCCACTGCTTTCCCAGGCCATAGCAGAGAGCTGGATTGGAAGAGGAGCAGCTGGGACTCAAACCAGCTCCCATATGGGATGTTGACACTGCACGCGGTGGCTTTAACCTGCTGTGCCACAGCACCGGCCCTATCATTTTTATTTTAAACTAGCAAAAGTTTTTAAAAAATTGAGCTCCAGAACATTATGTAATTTTCTGAGAGGTGAGAGCCCTGAGATCAACTAGATCAAGTCTTGTAAGTTCAGAAAAGTTAAGCAGAAATGAGCATTAAAAAAGATTTATTTATGAGAGAGAGAGAGGTCTTCCATCTGCTGGTTTACACCCCAAATGGCTGCAATATCAAGGGCTGGGCCAGGCTAAAGCCAGGAGCCAGGAACTTATTCAAGTCTCCCACATGGGTGAAGGGGCCCAAACACTTGGGTGATTTTCTGCTGCTTTTTCCAGGCAATTATCAGGGAGCTGGATCAGAAGTGGAGAGCTGGGATTCGAACTGGTGGGAATGGGCATTTTTTTTTTTTTTTTTTTTTGACAGGCAGAGTGGACAGTGAGAGAGAGAGAGAGACAGAGAGGAAGGTCTTCCTTTGCCATTGGTTCACTCTCCAATGGCCACCGTGGCCGGCGCGCTGCAGCCGGCGCACCGTGCTGATCCGAAGGCAGGAGCCAGGTGCTTCTCCTGGTCTCCCATGGGGTGCAGGGCCCAAGCACCTGGGCCATCCTCCACTGCACTCCCGGGCCACAGCAGAGAGCTGGCCTGGAAGAAGGGCAACCGGGACAGAATCTGGCGCCCTGACCGGGACTAGAACCTGGTGTGCTGGTGCCGCAAGGCGGAGGATTAGCCTAGTGCGCCGCGGCGCCGGCGGGAATGGGCATTTTTTAAGAAAAGATTTATTTATTTGAAAGGCAGAGTTGCAAAGAGGGAGGGAGGGAGGGAGGCAGGGAGAGAGATATCTTCCATCTGCTGATTCACTCCTTAAATGGCTGCAACAGCTGGGGCTTGGCCAGGCTGAAGCTAGGAGTCCGGAACTCCTTCTGGGTCTCTAACACGGGTGGCAGGGGCCCAAGTACTTGGGGCATCTTCCACTGCCTTCCCAGACATATTTACAGGGAACTGGATTGGAAGCAGAGCAGCTACGACTCAAACTCGTGCCCATATGGCATGCCAGCATTGCAGGCGCTGGCTTAACCTGATGCCACAATACCAGCCCTTAGGAGTAAGCATTTTGCCCTAATGGTTAATATGCCAAGGAATTAAGGCATTAATGGGACAGGAGTTTGACACAGCAGTTAAGAAACCTGCATTCTATATTGCAGTATCAAGTTTTAGTCCTACCTCCTCTACCACCAGTCCAGCTTCCTGCTGAGATACACCCTGGGAGGCAGTAGGTGATAGCTCTAGTACCATATGGCAGACTGGGATGAGTTCCAGGCTAGGGTTTGGCTTGGCCCAGTGGTTGCTGTTATAGGCATTTGGGGAATAAACCAGCCGATGGAAGGTCTCTCTCTTTTTCTCTGCCTTTCAAATAAAATGAAAATAAGCACAAAATGTTAAAAAAGAAAAAGAGGGGCCGGTGCTGTGGCTCAGCAGGTTAACGCCCTGGCGTGAAGCGCCGGCATCCCATATGGGAGCCGGTTCAAAACCCGGCTGCTCCACTTCTCATCCAGCTCTCTGCTATGGCCTGGGAGAACAGTAATAGATGGCCCAAGTCCTTGGGCCCCTGCACCCATGTGGGAGACCCGGAAAGAAGCTCCTGGCTCCTGGCTTCGGATCAGCGCAGCTCTAGCTGTTGTGGCCATCTGGGAAGTGATCCAGTGGATGGAAGACCTCTCTCTGTCTCTCTCTCTGCCTCGCCTCTCTGTGTAACTCTTTCAAATAAATAAATAAATATTTTTTTTTAAAAAGAGATAATACAAACTTAAAAAAAAGAAAAGAAAAAGATACAAGGGCTAGAGTTGTAGTGTAGCACATTAAGCCACTGCTTGCCATAACTGGCATCCCATATCCGAGTGCTGCTCTGAGTCCTGGCTGCTCCACTTCTGATGTAGCTCTCTGCTTATTCACTGGGGAAGGCATTAGAAAATAGCCCAAGTGCTTGGGCCCCTAATACTCACGTGGGAGACTGGATGGAGTTCCTGGCTACTGGCTTCAGCCTGGCCCAGACCTGGCTGTTGAGGACATTTGAGGAATGAAGCAGTAGATAGAAGATCTCTTTCTCTCTTGTTCTGCCTTGCAAATAAATAAATCTTAAAAAAAAAAAAAAAAAATCCAGGAAGAAAGACAAGACAAAAAGATGCCTACATTGGAGTGCCTAATTTAATTCCTGGCTCTGGCTTCTAACTCCAGCTTCATCCCAGTGCAAGCGCTGGACGGCAACAGTGGTGGCTCAAGTAATTGGATTCTTGCCAACTACTTGCCAGTGATGGAGCTTAGCCTCAGCCGTGCTGGATACTTGGGGAGAGAACCAGGGAACCACTTCTCTCTCTCTCTTTCTCTGTTCCCCACTCCCTCTCAACTAGATAAAAATTGGTAAAAAAAAAAAAAAAAAGAAAAGAAAAGAAAAGAAATAAAGAAAAACTAAGCAATTAGCCCCACATCATATAGAAACTAGTGGCAGAGCCAGGCTTCCTGTCTTGAACTCCTCCCTCTCCATTATCCTTAGAAAGGAGGTCCCAGAGATACTGTCTCTACTTTGGTGGTATCTGTGCTTGAAATTAGAAAGGCATGGCTCACATGTGATTATAAACCTTAGACAGGATTCTGAAATTTTGAAAGAGAAATGAAAGGGGAATTTCCTTTTTCACAATTTAATAAAAAAAGGAAGTGGGAGTTATTAGCTGGTATGATGCATAAAAGGAACAAAAATTTGTAATTCAGACACAAAGAGGAGATCAAAAAGTTTATGGGAAATACAACTAAAATACTATTTTATTTTGGTGCAAAGAATTTTGAAAGCCATGTATATGAGTGGTCTTCAAAAAGCTCATGGAAGAAAATGTATTAAAATTTATGTTACATGTATCTTCCCAAACAACAGAACAAGGCTAATGCCCAAATTCCTTGGTAATTACCATCCAGGGCTGGGACAGTCTTTGGTGTAAGGAGAAAAAGTAAAAGTTCTTGTTTCTTGTTCCACAGAAGCAGTTTGGAGGTTCTAACTTGTGAAACATAAGCTCCTTTCTTTGGGAAGGACTAAGAGGAACAGTGGTAGTAGATCAGGTAAAAGTGAGCAGGAAGGGCAGTGAAGACTTGTCCCTAGAGTAGGCACAAAGAAAACAGCTAAAGTAGTAACCCTGCAGTTACTCTGGTTTCAATACAATCTATATGCATAGAAGACCACACAGGAACAAGGAGTAGCTAGGTAGAGACTGCCACAGAAGGAGGGCACCTAACAACACATACAAAAATGCTCTGCACGGGGTGGACTCTCAGAAGATGTTATTTTAAAACTCGATGAATAATGCTAAAATTAGTGAGTGAAATTTACAGGTATTTAATAGCTTCGAATATCCCTCCACAAATGACTAGTTAACTGCAAAAGAAATAAATAGTAATCATATAAGGGAGAAACTTGGCAAATATCACCTTAACCAAGTCATCAAGTTCACACTGTCAATAACGAGACAAATCAACATCCTGTGCCTCTTGATATGTGCACTGAGAACTCAGCATTGCTTGTTTCAGTGGTAATCTAGCCCAAAATGCAACACTTAAGTGTAATCATGGCAACATCAGCAAAACCCAAAAGGAAGAACAATTAAATAAAACAATTGTTAAAAATGTCAAGATCATAAAAGACAAAGGAAGCATGAGGAATGAATACAGTATATGATCCTGCATAGAATCCTGGACCAGGAAAAATAGCAATAATGGATACTGGTGAGATTAACTGTTAATATTTAATCTGGGTTGTAGGCCGGCGCCACAGCTCACTAGGCTAATCCTCTGCCTTGCGGCGCCAGCACACCGGGTTCTAGTCCCGGTCGGGGTGCTGGATTCTGTCCCGGTTGCCCCTCTTCCAGGCCAGCTCTCTGCTGTGGCCAGGGAGTGCAGTGGAGGATGGCCCAACTGCTTGGGCCCTACACCCCATGGGAGACCAGGAGAAGCACCTGGCTTCTGCCATCGGATCAGCGTGGCAGCCATTAGAGGGTGAACCAATGGCAAAGGAAGACCTTTCTCTCTGTCTCTCTCTCTCCCTGTCCACTCTGCCTGTCAAAAAAAAAAAAAAAAAAAAAAATACACACTTAAATATTAGGGGTGAGGAGATATCACATTGCAACATACTCTTAAGAGATTCAGGAAAGACAAATACATGTGCACAAAGCAAATGAAAGAAAATATTAATCAGTGAGCTGGGGATAAAGAGTTTAGAGAGTTCATTCTATAGCCTTGCATCACTTCAAAATAAAATTTATAAAATATCTAAAAATATAATTTATATATTTTTTAAAGAATTTATTTATTTATTTGAAAGGTAGAGTAGCAGAGAAAGAGAGAAATCTTCCATTTGCTGGTTCACTCTCCAAATGGCTAAAATGGCTAGGGCTGAGGGTCCATGTCAAAGCAAGAAGCCTAGAACTCCATCCGGGTCTCCCAAGTGGTAGCAGAGTCCCAAGTACTTGGGCCAACTTCTGTTGTTTCTCTTTGGCAGGGATTTGTATAGGAAGTGGAAAGGCCAGAACTTGAACCAGCGCACATATGGGATGCTGGCATCGCAAGCAGCAGTTTAACCCACAACACTGGCCCTATAATTTATATTTCATTACTTCCAATTTTTCTCCAATGAACACGTACTTGTCTTAAAATCAGAAAAAAAAAAAAAAAAAAACCACACTGGTGAACAGGGTAACAATATAATCTAAATATGTATTAGAACTACTAATTCCTAAGTTTAAAAGTTATTGTGATGAAATAAAGGCAATGCAACTATGGAATGAGTCATGTTTTTCTTTTTCTGGCAATCTCTGGCATAACTGCACTATTCCCCCAGAAAGCACGTTACCTTTATAGCGGGCCAGGAGCTGCTTAAAATCTAACTGCTGATCTGGCACTGCATCTTTGACAGAATCCTGATCCTGGAGGTGAAGGGAGAGCCGCAGGTCTTCCTCCACTTCTTCAAAGGCAGTTCTGTTGCGTCTTGCTTTAAGCTTTTCCTTTGAAATCTGTTTCATGGAGCGCATGTATGGGCTCCCATCCTGTATCACATACCTGAGAAAGGGAGACAAGGGAACATGTCTGTGTGCATGTGGGTCTGTGAGTGAGGAGCAGAGGTAGTCGCCTATTGTATGTGTTCAGCCAGCAGAATGCTGCTGTCTGCAACTCAATGTGCTGATCCTTCTCCCAGTCCAGGGTTCCCCTGGCTGGGGCCCATTTCTGGCCAGGAACGCACTGGAATGCTTCACTGCTGGACAGAAGATCAGATAAGAATTTGGAGAAAAGTTCTATCACAGAAAAGAGTCATGAGCATTCAAAAACCACATCTGAGTTGTAGCCTCAGTAATGCCTCTTCTCATTTCATTTTCTTCTTTTGTAGTCTTATCTACTCCTGCAAATTCAACTATAATTTACAAGTAACTGACTCACCTTCACTGCAATCAAATTTAAAACTGTACTTCTGTTGGCTAAACATCTCCATAAGATTTTCTTCAAAACTCTTTCTAGAGGCTGGCGCCATGGCTTACATGGTTAACCCTCCGCCTGTGGCGCCGGCATCCCATATGGGCGCCGGGTTCTAGTCCCAGTTGCTCCTCTTCCAGTCCAGCTCTCTGCTGTGGCCCAGGAGGGCAGTAGAGGATGGCCCGAGTGCTTGGGCCCCTATACCCGCGTGGGAGACCAGGAGGAAGCACCTGGCTCCTGGCTTCGGATCAGTGCAGCGCCGGCCGTTTGGGGAGTGAACCAAGGGAAGGAAGACCTTTCTCTCTGTCTCTCTCTCTCACTGTCTATAACTCTACCTGTCAAAGAAGATAAAGAACAAAGAAAAGGTTCCTGCTCGCAGGGTAGAGCAAGGATAACCCTTAAAACAAACAAACAAGGCCGGCGCCGCGGCTCACTAGGCTAATCCTCCGCCTAGCGGCGCCGGCACACCGGGTTCTAGTCCCGGTCGGGGCGCCGGATTCTGTCCCGGTTGCCCCTCTTCCAGGCCAGCCCTCTGCTGTGGCCAGGGAGTGCAGTGGAGGATGGCCCAGGTGCTTGGGCCCTGCACCCCATGGGAGACCAGGAAAAGCACCTGGCTCCTGGCTCCTGCCATCGGATCAGCGCGGTGCGCCGGCCGCAGCGCGCCGGCCGCGGCGGCCATTGGAGGGTGAACCAACGGCAAAGGAAGACCTTTCTCTCTGTCTCTCTCTCTCACTATCCACTCTGCCTGTCAAAAAAAAAAAAAAAAAACAAACAAACAAAACTCTTTCTAATTAGACAGTTTAGTATTTGTTGGTGATAATACCATTAGACAATCCGGAAAAATGGAAAAGTCATCAGATTTGAAACTAAATTTAAGTTTCAGTTTAAATTTAAACTGGATTTAAGTTCTAGGTCTGCTGTTACATCAATTTGTCATAAGACTTTATGCAAGTTAATTTCAAAGGCAGAGTTACAGAGAGGCAGAGGCAGAGACAGAGAGGTCTTTATCCACTGGTTTACTCCCCAGATGGCTGCAATGGCCAGAGCTGTACTGATCGAAGGCAGGAGCCAGGAGCTTCTTCCTGGTGCAGGGGCCCAAGTCAAGAGGAGTGGGATAGGGCCCATAAAATCACAATACCTTAAAAAAAACTTATTTATTTATTCATTTTTATTTGAAAGCAGACAGAAAGAGAGAGAGAATCTTCCATTTACCAGTTTACTCCTCAAATGCCCCCAACGTCAGGGGTTGGGCCAGACCAAAGTCAGGAATCAGAAAGCAATCTGGGTCTCCCATGTAGGTTGGAGGGACATAAGCTTTTTTTTTTTTTGACAGGCAGAGTTAGACAGTGAGAGAGAGAGAAAGGTCTTCCTTTCCATTGGTTCACCCCCCAAATGGCCGCTACGGCCAGCATGCTGCGCCGATCTGAAGCCAGGAGCCAGGTGCTTCCTCCTGGTCTCCCATGGGGTGCAGGGCCCAAGCACTTGGGCCATCCTCCACTGCACTCCCGGGCCACAGCAGAGAGCTGGACTGGAAGAGGAGCAGCCGGGACAGAATCCAGCACCCTAACCGGGACTAGAACCCAGGGTGCCGGCGCTGCAGGCGGAGGATTAGCCAAGTGAGCCGTGGCGCTTGCCCGGACATAAGTATTTGAGCCATCACCCACTGCCTCCCAGGGTGCACATTAGCAGGAAGCGGAAATTGGGAGAACTGGAACTCAAATCCAGGTACTTTGATATGGGAAGAAGGCATCCCCAGCAGCAGCTTAACTGCTGTACCAAATGTTTGCCCCTGGAAAATAGGAATCTTTCAATAAGTTCCCTAAGTATTCTTATTGTACACTACAATTGAAGCTTGATGTTTTCAGCTTGAAAATATTGCATCATTAAATAAATATGGAGTCGGAAGGGTTGCTTAATAGGGATAGAAAGAGCTAGGAGGAGGAGAAAAATTCTGAGTTGAGTTTAAGGTGATCTGGGGTGTTTTCATTCTGGAGATTAGAGATCAGGAATGAAGAAACTGACCAGTGAGTTCTTGGCACAGAAGGGACAGCTGAAATCACACAGATAGCTAAAGGAGAGTTTAACAGTGAACAGAAACAGTGCAAAGATAAAATCTTGGGGAAACACTCAAGATTAAAAGAATAGGAAGAAAAAGCAGGGCTTTCAAAGGAGAGAAATCTGTTTGCATACAACAGACATTACCTTTTCTATCAAGTGCTGCAAGTATTTACACAGACATCTTAACACTCAGCCTACACTGCAGACTTCTTGACAGCAGAGCCGTTCTAACAGCTAACCTTTGTAAAACCCGTACTCGGTGCAGGCACAGTTTTAAGCACTTTGCAAATATTAATTCATGAATTAATCCTCATAAAACCCTTGTAAAGTAGCTGCTGTTAAAATATCCATTTTTCATAAGATGAAACTGAGGGACAGAGAGATTAACTTCCTGCCAAAGTTACAGTTTGCAAGTAAAGGAATTTAAATCTTGCTAGTTTGTTTGCTGAAAGAAAAGGGAAAACAAAATGCTCAAGTAGAAAAATTAGAAAAAGACTAACACATTTATGAGTATTCTAGCATACTGAGGGAAGAAACAGTCCTATTTTCAAAGACTTTCAGTGAAGCTTAAAATCTTCCTTACCTTGTCACAGCAATTGCATCTTCCAGAAAAAACTGATCAACAGGAAATGTACGCCCTAGAAAAGTAATAAGAAAAGTCTGAGAAATAACCAAGTCTTTATTAAAAAGAAGTCATATATAAAATTGAAATCTCTCAACAAGTAGGTATGTTATCTCCTTATTAACTGCAATGTACTGTTGTGATTCTGTTAGAAACAAGTCACTTCTCCAGAAAGAGGCTTAAATGCCTATTAATTCAAATGACCTTTAAAATAATTGTACCCACTTTTTAGAAAGATACATATTTAATGAAATTTTAATCACCTGGTATAGTAATAACTGGGCAGGAATTAAAGTATTCTGAAAAGAGCTCAGTGTTTAAAGTTGCGCTCATTAGAATAACTTGAAGGGTCGGCCTCTGCAATACAATGTCCTTCAAAACTAGCAGCAGGAAATCACTAGAGGAAATAGAAGACACTCGTGAAGATCAAGCAGGTTCAATAGATGACAATTAATAACTCAAAAAAACTTTAAAATTTTCTCCCTGAGAGGAAGAGAGAGGGAGAGCGAGCTCCCACCTGGGGATTCACTCCCCAAAAGCCTACAACAGCTTTGGGCTAGGCCAAAGCCAATTGCTGGAAACTGAATATGGATTTGCCATGTGGGTTACAGGGATCCAACTACTTGGGCCATCACCCAGGGTGTGCATTAGCCAGAAGCTGAAATCAGTAGCTGGAGCCGGTAATCAAACCCAGGGACTCCGATGTGAGGTGCAGGCATCTAACCAGCATCATAACTGCTAATTTAAATGCCTGCCCATACTAACTTTTGTTATCTTTTGAACAATGATGTATAAGATCTACAGGGATAAAAAATTCTAAGACTCCTAGAAAATGTGTTATGTTTCTGGATGTGAAGACTTAATATCATAAAGATTATCGATTCTCTCAAACTCATTTCAGTGCAATAAAAATACTAAAAGGATTTATCATCAAATTTGAGAGTCTACCTCTTGATATCTATGTGCACACAAAGAAGCATATACAAAGATTTTCATTTAGGTACTGTTTGTAATAGTAAAATAGAAATTATCTAAATACACATCCAACAAGAAATGGTTAATTATAACACTATCACCCAGTCTATGAAATAACATAAAGCAGATAAAAGAAATAATGCGGGGCCAGCGCTGTAGTGCAGTGGGTTAACACCCTGGCCTAAAGCGCCAGCATCCCATATGGGTGCCAGTTCAAGTCCAGGCTACTCCACTTCCAATCCAGCTCTCTGCTATGGCCTGAGAAAGCAGTATAAGATGACCCAGGTCTTTGGGCTCCTGCACCCGCGTGGGAGACCTGGAAGAAGCTCCTGGCTTCAGATCAGTGCAGCTCTGGCTGTTGCGGCCAATTGGGGAGTGAACCATCGGATGGAAGACCTCTCTGTCTCTCTCTCTGTCTCTGTCTCTCTTTCTCTCTCTGCCTCTCCTCTTTTTAACTCTGCCTTTCAAACAAATAAATAAATCTTTAAAAAAAAAAAAAAAAAAAGAAAGAATGTAGGGGAGAGCATTTGGTCTGGTAGTTATTCTGGTTAACATGCCTGAGACCCACATCAGAGTGTCTGGGTTCAATTCTCAACTCTGTCTCCTGACTCTGGCTTCCTGCTAATGCAGACCCTGGGAAGCAGTGGTAATGGTTCAAGTAATTGGCTTTGTCTCCTACCTGGGAAACCTGGCTTTTGCCTTGCAAGGCCCTGGCCAATGTGGGCATTTGTGGAACGAATTAGAAGATAGGAGCTTTCTCTCACTCTGTCTCTCAAATAAATAAATTTTAAAAGAATAAAGTAGACTTCTAGATTATGACATAAAACGTCTCTAAGATACATTGTTAGTGAAAATAAAACTAAGTATGTAATGCAGAATAGCAATAGCTAACTGGTCTCTCTGCTTCAGCCCGACCTTTTGTGATCAATTCTCAATAGTACCGACCAATAATTCCAGTCAAATGTCAATCTGATTGTGCCACTCTGATCAAAATCCTAAGACTTCCCATTTGAATCCTTCCTAAGAAGACCCTACAGGGTCTGCATCGCCGCCATGCCTTGCCATTGCTCTCCCTCTTCCTCACTGAGCTCCAGCACACTGTTCTTCTTGCTGTCCATGAGGTACAAGCCTCAGGTCCTTCCTGCATGCTACTAATCTGCCTGGAATGGGCTTTTCCCAGCCATTCACCCAGGGAGCTTCCTCACATCCTTCAAGTCTTTGCTCAAATTTCTTCTCAGTGAGGCCTTCCTGGGCTACCTTATTTAAGATTTTCTAAAAGTTATTTATTTAGAGGTCAGCACCAAGGCACAGATTAGGCCATCACCTGCAACACTGGTATCCCATATGGACTCTGGTTCAAGTACTGGCTGCTTCATTTCTTTTTTTTTTTTTTTTTTAACAGGCAGAGTGGACAGTGAGAGAGAGAGAGAGACAGAGAGAAAGGTCTTCCTTTGCCATTGGTTCACCCTCCAATGGCCGCTGCGGCTGGCGTGCTGCGGCCAGCGCACCGTGCTGATCTGAAGGCAGGAGCCAGGTGCTTCCCCTGGTCTCCAATGGGGTACAGGGCCCAAGCACTTGGGCCATCCTCCACTGCACTCCCTGGCCACAGCAGAGAGCTGGCCTGGAAGAGGGGCAACCGGGACAGAATCTGGTGCCCCAACCGGGACTAGAACCCAGTGTGCCGGCACCGCAAGGCGGAGGATTAGCCTACTGAGCCGTGGCGCCAGTCATTTCCTATTCAGCTCCCTGCTAACACACCTGGGAAAGCAGTGGAAGAGGGCCCAAATCCCTGGGCCCTTGCACTCACATGGGAGACCAGGATGGAGTTCTAGGCTCCTGGCTTCAGTCTGACCCAACCCCAGTCATTTGGCCATTTGGGGAGTGAACTAGCAGGTGGAGAAACTCTTTCTCTCTCTGAAACTCTGTCTTTTAAATAAATAAGTCAATCTTAAAAAATTATTTTTGGGGGCCAATACTGTGTCATAGTAGGTTAAGCCCCTGACTGTAGTGCTGGCATCCTATATGGGTGCCAGTTGGAGTCCCAGCTGCTCCACTTTCAATCTAGCTCTAGCTTATGGCCTGGGAAATCAGTAGAAGATGGCCCAAGAGCTCAGGCCCCTGCACCTTCGAGGGAGACCCATAAGAAGCTCCTGGCTCCTGTCTCCGGAAGGGCTCAGCTCCCGCTGTTGTGGCCATTTGGGGAGTGAACCAGCGGATGGAAGACCTTTCTCTCTGTCTCTCCCTCCCTCTCTCTGTTAACTCTACCTCTCAAATAAATAAATAAAATCTTTAAAATTATTTTTAAAATTTTCATTTTATTTGAAAGGCAGAGACTGGGAGGTGGGAGTGGGGAAAAAGAGAGATCACTGGGCCTTCCATTTGCTTGCAACAGCCAGGGATGGGCCAGGGCAAAGCCAGGAGCCAGGAACTCTATCCTGGTCTCCCACAATGGTGCCAGCTTCAGGTATTTTGTTACAGCACAGAAAATGGACTAACATATGCTTCAACCCTCTAAAATTCTAATTCTTAAAATACAAACGCCTTATTATCCTCGGTGTACAGGGCCCTGAGATGTGGCTCCTGCTACTCTTCCCTCTGCCACTCAACTGCTCATTCATGTACCAGCTGCACCGGCCTCTCTTCACCTTCTGGACTCACAAAGTCCCTTCCCACTATGCAGTCTTTGCTTGTGCTATACTTGCCTCCCACTGTCACATGCAATTACTTCTCAGACTTGCATTTTCAATTTAAATATCATCTCTTCAGAGATCTGCTCTCTGGCCATCATATGGATCTTTCTCAAACACAGCATCCTGTTCATTCCTTCCTAGTATCTATTCCAATTTGCAATTGTTCATTTAATTGTTTGTCTCCTTGTTAATTATTTCCTTTTCCTACCAGACTGTAAGAGATGACAGGGAACCATACATACTTGTTCACCATTATATCTCCAGGGCATTTAATATTGGCTCATTGAACATACAAATGAAGGTCAGGACTGAATGACTGAATAAAGGAAGCACATATAGACTGGCCATCACCTACAGCATGTATTACACCTGTTATTCCTATTAAACACAGTGTCCTACTCAGCATGGTTCCCAGGAGGGTGTGAAACTTCCCTTCTAATTTATTAGGATGACTTCTCTAGTGACGAACACGTGCTCTCCTAGCATTTGTAGGGCTACAGATCAGGTAAGCTGTTCCTTTTCTCTAACTTGGGCCTTCCTTATGGCAAATTACCATTAGGAGTCTAGGAAATGCAACTGAAAGCAGAACACAATTTTTTCAGCCATGTCTTCATTTTATGTCTGTGAGTGTTCACTGGGACCATTTTTTTACCTTTCTTCTGTCCTCTCGTGAACTTCATCAACAATGATATGGGTGACTCCTTGTAAAGCTGTATCTCCTTCAAGTCTTCTTAGCAGTACTCCTGTGGTGCAGTAGAGCAGCCTGGTGGCTGAGGACTTAAAGGGGAAACATAAAGCATTTAGGAAGTTTTTGAAAATAAATTTACTGAAATTCGGAATGGATAAAGATTAAGAATATTGAGGACAATAGCAGCTTCATTTACTATAAAACAATATTAAATGTACAACTTGTAGGTGGAGACAATAAAAGCTTTTCTACTTTACATCAAAAATTTAAGCTTAATATTCTCATAGAAGGCTCTCAAAAATTATTACAAAATAAAACAAATAAACAAACAAAAAAAAACCCCAGTGATGATGAAATAAAATTTGAATTTGCTCCTTAGATAGATTAAATCCCAGGTTCAAGAGCAAAACAGGGGACAAGTGTTTAGTTTAACAATTAAAACACCACTTGGGAAACTTGCATCCTATATTAGAATGCCTGGGTTCAAGCCTCAGGTTAATGTCTGAGTCCAGCTTTCTGTTGATGCATACCTTAAGAGGTAGCAGGTAATTGGGTCCCTGACACCCATGTGAGAGACTCTGAGTTCCCAGTTTCTGGATTCAGCCTGGCCCAGCCTAGCTGTTGTGGGTATGCATAACAGAGTGAATAAGTGGATGGAAGATCTCTCTCTCTTTCTCTCCCCCCACCCCCTTCTGTGTTTGTGTGTGTGTGTTTGTATGTCTGTCTTTCAAGTAAAATAATAAATTTTAAAAGAGCAAAACTGCATTTACTATTTCACTTCTGTCACTAAACAATAAAAAGTCTTTCTAGAGGAAATTTAGTACAACTAAATGAGAATTCTTATGTCAAAATATTTCTAAAAGAACTTCAGCCCTACTGAAGTCGATCATCAATTTAAAGTAGTCTAAAAGTATATATCCTAAATTGACCATTAATCTCCAGACTCCAAAACTCTTTGCATATGAAAACTGTAAATTTCTATGACCAACGAATAAGCAGAGAATACAAACCTTGACACTTTCTAACCGAATCTGGTATCCCACCGTCAGACCCACCCTCTCTGCTCTTTCTTTAGCAACACGTTCAGCAACAGAGATGGCAGAGATTCGTCGGGGCTGGGTACAGATGATGTTTGCCACTTTCTCAGGTGGCCCATTCAGAGAATCATCCAGAATAAACTGGGGAATCTGTGTGGTTTTCCCACATCTGTAGGTCAAAACAAGTTAAGTCCCAAGTCAAGAGCTAGTTAACTAAAGAATCAATCATATGCAATGAGGAAAGTGATAAAGCTAATTAGAATAAAGTTTTATCATTTTTCTGAAACTATTTACTGGTTTACTACCTAGAACAGACAAATTTGAGGAATTTGCACTCAGATTAACAGGGCAATCCAATCATACTCTACTCTCATTTACAAAATTGGAACTATTGAACAGATACCAGATGAAGGTCTGTAAATGCCTCTAAGAATGTAAACTCTACATATGAATCACAAAGAAAAGGAGGATTATTAATTTGATTTGGTGAGAAGTAGACTGAGGTTAAAATGATCAGAAACTACATTTTGGTACAAAAAAATTTGAGATCCATGCAGTTGTTTCATAGTATTCATTCTCAAAGACTCCTCATATGCACGGATTTCAAAATTTTTTGCACCAAAACCAATATTTTAATTCCATTTTCCACACACACACACACACACACACACACACAAACACACATACAGATACAAAACTAGAAGATATAAGATTACTACTATAGGGGCCAGTGTCCTGGCACAGCAGGATAAGCTGCTGCCTGCAACACCAGCGTCCCATATGAGTGCCAGTTCAAGTCCCAGCTGTTCCATTTCCAACCCAGTTCCCTGCTAATGTCCTGGGAAAGCAGTGGAAGGATGGCCTGAGTGCTTGGGCCCCTGCCACCCAGGTGAGATACCAGACGGAGTTCCAGGCTCCTGGCTTTGGCTTGGTTCAGCTCTGGCCACTGAGGCCATTTAGGAAGTGAACTAGTGGATGGAAGACCTCTCTCTCTCTCTCTCCCCCTCTCTCTCTCTCTAGTGTACTTGAGTAAAGCACTAAGTTAAGCCTGCAACTTTCCCTTGCTAATAGGTTTGCATATGGAGAGTATGAAACAGGAAAAATAATGTACCTTAAATTGTTCTTAAAAGAAAAAATAAAAGCTTTATGGAAATCAGAATAAATCCAGAAAATGAAACACTTTTAAGCTAAATGTTCTAGAGCTGTTCTCTAAATTTAAAAATGGGCCTTGTTAAGTCTTCAGTTGAACTTTTGGCCTTAAAACTGTCTCAAGATGGGGCCACTGTTGGGGTGCAGTAGGCTATTGCAGCCATCTGGGGAATGAATCAACAGATGTAAGAACACTCTAATTCTGCCTTTCAAATAAATAAGTCTTTTTTTATTATTATGTTTTCTATGGACAGGTAGAGTGGATAGTGAGAGAGAGAGAGAGAAAGGTCTTCCTTTTGCTGTTGATTCACCCTCCATTGCTGCCACGGCTGGTGCACTGCGGCCGGCACACCGCGCTGATTCGAAGGCAGGAGCCAGGTGCTTCTCCTGGTCTCCCATGGGGTGCAGGGCCCAAGCACTTGGGCCATCCTCCACTGCACTCCCGGGCCACAGCAGAGAGCTGGTCTGGAAGAGGGGCAACCAAGACAGAATCCAGTGCCCCGACCGGGACTAGAACCCGGTGTGCCGGCGCCACTAGGTGGAGGATTAGCCTATTGAGCTGCGGCTCCGGCCATCAAATAAATAAGTCTTAAAAAAAAAAAATTGGGGCCAGCGGTGTGGTGCAGCAGGTTAATCCTCCACCTGTGGTGGCATCCCATATGGGCACTGGTTCAAGTCCCGGCTGCTCCTCTTCTGATCCAGCTCTCTGCTATGGCCTGGGAAAGCAGTAGTGGATGGACTAAACCCTTGAGCCCCTGTGCTCATGTGGGAGACCAGGAAGAAGCTCCTGGCTCCTGGCTTCGGACTGGCACAGCTCTGGCTGTTGCGGCCATTTGGGGAATGAACCAGCAGATGGAAGATCTTTCTCTCGGTCTCTCCCTCTCACTATCTGTAACTCTACCTCTCAAAAAATAATAAATAAATAAATAAACTGTCTCAATGCAGAGGTAAACATTTCTGAGTTTTTTTTTTTTTTTTTTTTTGTAATGTGGTTCTACTGGCTACAGAAGTTGCAATAATCACCTCTGAGAGATATTACTTAATTTGGCAAGAAAAAGTAAAAATAACACCAGCTCTTGCTTTTTTTAAAAAGAACTGGTTAGGGTAACCAGGGTATTTATGGTATATTTAAAGGAAAGCTGCATCATGGAGCCAGGCATTGTGACCCAGTGAGTTAAGTCATAGCTTGGGTTGCCCACATCCTATATCAGTGTCGGTTCAAGCACCAGTCACTTGGCTTCCAATCCAGCTTCCTGCTAACGTTCTTGGGAAGGCAGAGGATGATTGCCCAAGTACGTGGGTTCCTGCCTCCCACGTGGGAGACCTGGATAGGGTTCTGGGTTCCTGGTTTCAGCCTGGCTCAGTCCTGTCTGTTGTGGTATGTGGAGAGTAAACCAGCAGATGGAAGTTAGCTAGCTCTCTCTGTCACTGTGCCTTTCAAACAAATCAATAAAACTGGAAAAAAAAAAAAGCTGCATTATGAACAAATTACATTCTCACCCAGTCATACCACTTATGACAACCACTTGGTGCCTGCTCAACAGTTTAAGAATGTTTTCTCTTTCTTCCCACGCAGGGAGTGATTGTCTTTCTTGCAGAATTGACTGGAACTGTCTGGATGCCTAATAAAAGCAAAGATAAGGCATTAGTTGAGTTATTTTTAGTCACCTTTCATAAAGATTTGAATCCGGAACCCAATAGTTAGACCCACTCTTTCTGTTCTTTAGCAAGTTGTTTAGAGATGAGACTGCAGACATTTATTGGAATTGGATGTAGACGACTTTGGTCAGAAGGCTGCTCAGAGAATCCGCCAGAGTATGCTATAGAATCTACATAGTATTCCTATATCTGAATAAGCTAGAAGATGTTATAAGTGCAATACACCTCTCATACAAGTCTACTCAACTGTTCCAAACAAGTGTCCATGCCAGCAGTGCCAATAGAAATTTCCATGTTGATGGAAATGTTCCATACCTGCACTATCTAATGTAGCAACCCCTGGCCACATGTGGCCACTGACCCTTTAAAACACGCACAGTGCTAGTGAGGAACTGAATTTTTCATTTTAACTAATTCATTATAATTTAAAGACCCAAAGGAGGGCAGGGGCTACCACAGTGGACAGCATAACTTTATGCAATACCAGATTTTTTTCCTAAATCAAAGTGCTCAAGGTAACATAGCTAAAAAGTGGGAACAAAGGGGTTCAAAGCCGGTAAGAATACCCACTAAAGGGTTCTTTTTGGTTATACAACTATGTAAAATCAGTCTTATTTCTAATTGCTAATGCAACAAACATTGTATTGTATGCTAAAACTATGTACTTTTGAGTAATATAAGAATTTTATACTAAGATGCCATTTCTGCCATATAATTTTATCAGACTGATCAAACTGACTATAAAGTTTTTTGTTTCTACCATCATTTCATTCATGGTGTGATTTCATATACATTTTGATGTTTTATGGGTACTGCACTATATATATGATGGTTATATTGTGTCAAAATCAGAATCACAAACTAAAACTAGAAGGGCCCTAAGGTAGCATTTAATGCAACCCTCAAACTGATTACACAACTCACCTTTGCCCTAAATCCAACTGTGCTTCATAGTTCACATACAGATTCTCTCAAAAAATCTTCATGTGAATAGGGTGAAAATAAGGACTTTGGAAACAGAACTAGATCTGAACAACTCTGTTGTCACTTGTTAGCTGTATGATCTTGGGCATAATATTAATCTTATGAGCCTTTGAAAAGGGGTGAGAGTCACTCTTGCTCCTTATATATACTAATTTTTCCAATGCAAAACAAAATTTTCATAGGGCTTTCACATATCAGATTATTTATCAGGGTACCAAAGGCATATGATTTTGACAATATTTGGTATATATGTGTTTAACTGATATTTACCAGTTGTGGGATTTTCTAGAACCATCTAGCACATGCAACCCTACTTTGCTATGGCATGTAGAAGCTCTGACCACTTAGGGTGAAAGAGAACCAAAAAAGATACTAGGAAGGGTAGTCAAAGCTTTCTCATTCGTAATCTTTTATGCATTCGGGAGGCAAGGCTGGTCCTTCTCTCAGCTTTCCATACCTGTTTTATTTGGAACTGCTTGCAGATTTTACCATTTTCAGCATATACTGATTTTGCCTGCCAGTCATATCTTTTGGAAATCTTTTTCTTAAGGTTTACATAGCTCTCCTTCTCCACCATAACTGGTGCAGGACTTTCATCTTCATCTGCTTCTTCCTCGGGTTCTGATTCTTTTTCAACTTGAAGGGAATAAAGGGGAATGTTTTGCAAGAGCCCAAAAATACCATGACACAGACCAACCCAAATGTCTATGAAATGATCAACTGATAAATAAAAGGTGGCATGTCCATATAACAGAATATTATTCAGCAATAAAAAGGAGGTACTCGTACATGCTATGACATGACTGAATCTTGAAAACATGATGCTGAGTAAAAGAAGCCAGTCTCAAAAAGCCACATACTGTGTGACTTCATTTCTATGAAATGTCCAGAACAGGCGAATCCACAGATAGATTACAGATTAGTGGTTGTCAGGGGCTAGGGGAAGGGGGAAATGAGCAGCCTGCTCTTTTCTTGGGGTGATGATAATGTTCTGGAATTTGATGGTGGTCATGGTTGTACAACTCTGTAAAAAACACTAAAAGCAATTGAATTGTATACTTTAAAGGTTTTCCTTTTTTTAAAAGATTTACTTATTTATTTGAAAGGCAGAGTTACAGAGGTAGAGGCAGAGATAGACATAGGATGCAGCCATCTTAAATGGTGTCTTAACCTTTATGTCAAATGCCTACCCTGATTTGCTTTTTTTAAAATTATTATTTGAGGCTGGCGCCGCAGCTCAATAGGCTAATTCTCTGCCTTGCGGCACCGGCACACCGGGTTCTAATCCCGGTTGGGGCACCGGATTCTGTCCCGGTTGCCCCTCTTCCAGGCCAGCTCTCTGCTGTGGCCCGGGAGTGCAGTGGAGGATGGCCCAAGTGCTTGGGCCCTGCACCCGCATGGGAGACCAGGAGAAGCACCTGGCTCCTGCCATCGGATCAGCGTGATGCGCCGGCCGCAGTGCACCGGCTGCGGCGGCCATTGGAGGGTGAACCAACGGCAAAGGAAGACCTTTCTCTGTCTCTCTCACTGTCCACTCTACCTCTCAAAAAATAATAAAAAAAAAAATAATTATTTGAGAGTTAGAGTTACAAAGAGAGGGAGAGAAGGAGAGCGAGAGCGAGTGAGAGAGTGAGTCTTCCATCCATTTGTTCATGCCTCAGATGGCCCCATATGGCCTGGAGCTGAGCTGATCTGAAGCCAGAAGCCAGGAGCTTCTTTCAGGTTTCTCACATGGGTGCAGGGGCCCAAGGACTTGGGCCATCTGCTGCTGCTTTCCCAGGCCATAGGAGAGAACTGGATCAGAAGTGGAACAGCCGGGACTCAAACCAGCACCCATGTGGGATGCTGGCATTGCAGGCAGTGACTTTACCTGCCATGCTACAGTGCTGGCCCCTTGAATTGTACACTTTAAAAGGGTGAAATCTGGGGCCAGAGCTGTGGCACAGCCTGCAACACCAATATTTCATATTAGACTGTCAGTTCAAGTCATGGCTGCTCCACTTCCTTGATCTAGCTCCCTGTTAAAGTGCCCAAGTACCTGAGCCCATGCCACACATGTAGACTTGGATAGAGTTGCAAGCTTCTGGTTTTGGCCCAGTCCCAGTCACTGAGGCCATTTGACGAGTAAATCAGCAGATGGAAGATTTCTCTCTCTCTCTCTTTCTCACTTTGCCTTTCAAATCAATCAATGAATAAAACTTTTCTTTTAAAAAAAAAAAGGGTGAATTTTATAGTATATAAATTACATCTCCATATGGCTGGTTTTTTTACTTTTTAAAGTCCAGAATACATAAGTTGTTATTTCTCAAGAAATACACTGGAATCCCGTAAGCTAGGAGCTGACATTTGGAATGAGTCAGGTGCCTAGTAAGTGAACCAAGCCAACTGTCCAGCTTCTACACCTCAGTGCATTTTCATTGCTCTCTAATTATTGATGTTTATCTAGGAACTATCATGAAATAAAACCTTTTGTTTTCCTGAAAGAAAGGTGGCAAGAAAAGGGGGGTTTACTTGTGGTGAATCTGCACAGCAGTATGGGTGCTGTGGTACAGTAGGTTAAGCTACTGCTTCAGATGCCACATCTCATATTGGCGTGCTGGTTTGAATCTCAGCTGTTCTGCTTCCTGCTAATGTAGCTCCCTGCTAATGCACTTGGAAAAGCAGTGGAGGACAGCCCAAGTAAATTGGCCCCTGGCAAACACATGGGAAACCCAGATGGAGTTCCTGGATCCTGGCTGCGGCCTGGCCCAGCCCTGGCTGTTGAATCAGCAGATGGAAGTTCTCTTTATCTGTCTGTATCTGTCACTCTGCCTTTCAAATAAATAAATAAATTAAAAAAAAATCTGCACTTGAAACCTAACTCTGCCAGAGCTTGTACAAACCATTTCTTATTCTCAGGATTTAGGGATTTATAAAGATAGCCCCTTTTTAATGAATTTTGAGGGATCTAGTATACTAAAAGCAGAAGGTAATGGAGTGGTATAGAAAGAGAAGTTATCTCTAAATACCCACTTGAAAGTAATCTCAGACACGATATAAAAAATAAACTTGTGAAACCAAATTAATCAAATGAAATAGATTTTTCTGAGGTGTCTTGAGTTCCTTCCAACCTGCAGATCCAATCAAAATAAATTTATACATCTCTACAAACTTTCAATTTAAGGAGCAACCACAACAATACAATTAGGCCTAATGCCTAAAGCCAGGCCTATAGCTCAGTGGATTCTCATTCCCTTTCACCAACGGGACCAAACGGACTTGCTTAGGGCCACTGGGAGATCCTAGACCAGCCTCAGAAGCTCTGACTTTTAAATCTACCATTCTGATAGCCCTCCTCCACAAGACAATGCCTTACATACCTTCTGGACTTTGATTTGAAACAAAAGAATTACTTGGGATCACTGGTTTATGATAGGCAGGATTATTTATTCTGGTCCCAGAGGGCACTGGCAGAGAGTTCACAGGAGGGACACTATACTTGTGATGAGTATTTGTTAGTAACTTGACAATTTCTGATTCTTCCTCTAAAAGGGTTATCAAAGAATATACGACAGGTTCTGAAGTTTCTGCAAATGCCAATGCCTTGTCATAAAGGAACTCAGAAATATGTAAACGACAAGCCAGAGGTAGATTCTCATTGGTGGAGTAAAATGCCACAAGAGGAGCTTGGTAGGGGTATTTGTGGTTTTTAGAAAATCGAATTTCAAGTTCATATAAAAACGATGCATCTTCATTAAGATGAGAATCATCTACAATTCTTTCTGCTCTTCCAACCATTTGATTTGGGGGCACTTCATGTTTGAATTTGCATTTGGATCCAAATTTACAATTTCCTTTGAGGTAAAATTTACAGGTTTCAAGTGAAGTCTCTTGCACATTTTTGGTACTTTCCTTTTGCTTGGATTTACAGAATTTACTTGTCAAATATTCCAGTTCTAATCCAACGGTCCAGACTCTGTTCTGAATTCTTTCTACAAATTTATCTCCACAGATTGACCTGAGTGCAAACGCCTCTTCCTGTCGCTGTTCCATACACTCATCCAAGCTTATACGGTCAGCTGCCGCCGAGATCTTCATCCTCTCTCCGAATGTCTCTGAAAAACACTGGGTGAGTAGCTGCTCTAGTGATGCCCCCACATCTCCATCACAAATCCTCAGGGCTGCCTGACAGCGTTCGATGCTGAAACCATACCTGCCAAGGGCAAAACATGATAAAATGACATGTAGGAAGCCCTATCACATCACTGAAGTGAAATTCATTTAAATATGTTTAAATGAAATCACAACTCCATCTATGCAGGGTTTGTATTTTGAAAAAATGCCCTTAATAATTCGAATCCTTTAACCCCCCCATCTTTACAAGATAAAGTACTAGGCATAGAAGGCACTGCAGGAACCCACACAATGTGGGGCAGCTGGGTTTGTAAGAAAGTATCATTTTCACTGGATTCTCCCCTAACTGCCTTCAACAGTGACAGCAATCACCTGGAAAGCTTCTGCACTGCAAATGGAGAGACTGTGAATTCTGCAGTATGAGGCGCCCCTGGGGCTGGGCCAGCACATTCCAAAAGATCAAAGTCTGGAACAAGGGCAGGTTCTTGTCCAGCTGGCCAGTAGCGCTCATCATCACAGCAATCAGGCTCGTCATCTTCCTCCTCCCCAGAAACGCCTCTTCTAGCAAAGGCAATATTTTCATACATTAGATATTAGTTTCTACCTAATTCAAAGAAAAATATAGGAAGGGGCTAAGAATTTAATTCAAGGCACCAAGAATATATAATCATGATAACTCTTCAGTAACTGATTTAATTTTTTACAGGACTAATTTAGTATTGTGGCAATTAATATTTATCACGCTTTAATTACACATACCATATAACCCTACAAGGTACTACTGGAATCCCCATATTTTAGACAATCAACTACAACTTAAAGAGGATTAGTAACTACCTAAGGTTACACAGTCAGGAGCAACTTAACATTCTACCAAAAACAGTCTGTTCCCACTCTCTTTTTTAAAGATTTATTTATTTATTTGAAAGGCAGAGTTACAGAGAGGCAGAGGCAGAGAGAGAGAGACAGAGAGAGGTCTTCTATCTGCTGGTTCACTTCTCAGATGGCTACAACAGCTGGAGCTGCACTGATCCGAAGCCAGGAACCAGGAGCTTCTTTCAGGTCTCCCACATGGGTGCAGGGGCCCAAGCACTTGGGTCATCTTCTACTGCTTTCCCAGGCCAGAGCAGAGAGCTAGATTGGAAGTACAGCAGCCAGGACTCAAACTGGCACCCACATGGGATGCTGCCGCTGCAGGTGGCAGCTTTACCCACTATGCCACAGTGCCGGCCCCTGAGACTTTGTTTTTAAACACAGAAATTTTGGCTATCCTCTTTCTCTTATTCATAAAATCTGTCCCTAGGGGCCGGTGTTGTGGTGCAGCGGCTTAAGCCCCCCACTTGCAATGCTGGCATCCCATTATATTCCATTACTGGAGGGCCACTGGAGTCCCGGCTGCTTAGCTTCTGATCTGGCTTCCTGCTATTGGCCTGGGAAGGCAGTGGAAGATGGCTCAAGTACTTGGGCCTCTACCACCCATGTGGGAGACCCAGATGGATTTCCTGGCTTCTGGCTTTCACCTGGCCTACATTTGGCCATTGCAGCCATTGGGAAGTGAGCCAAAGGATGGAAGGTCTCTCTCTGTTTTTCTACCTTTCAAATAAATAAAAGATTTTTTTTAAAGTTACCCCTAATTTTTTACTTTGTCGCATAACCCCCTTTCTTACATCTGAGACAGATAACAGACTGACAGACAGGATGGAAACAATTAATTTCTCCAACTGAAAACCACAAAGCAAAAAGCCAAAATGAAATGGGGGAGGTGAAAGGTGAGTAACATTAAAGAATAACAGCCGTTTCTCTGACGCAGATGATCATGAGAAGCATAAGCATGTAAGACCTCATCTAATCAACTCAATATTTTCATCCAGAACTCTACTTGTTCATTACAAGGTTTTATTTGGAAGGTTATCAATAAAGCAATCACTGAATCTCTATTAGCACTGCCTTGGAAAGAAATAAAAGGAAAGGCACTACTGCTGTTATTATTGCCCACGGATATCACAAAACAAACTCACTCTAAAACTGTGTCTGAATAATTATTCACACTGCCAATAGGTCTTCCTTACTGTAGTAATTTACTGAAATAAAATAATTTACTCAGATCCAGCATCCGCATCTTGTTCTTGCAGGTCTCGGAGAAGAGCTTTCACTTTCTCTTGATTCTCAGAAGTCATATGCAGAGTCTGCAGAGGGACTTTGGCTTTGGGCTTCCATTTGGGGCGTGGCTCTCCTTTGCTAGTGCTATTGTCACTAGGTCTGCAAAGGACACCAGAGCAAAATTACACACTTACCTGTGATCAGAGCTTTTACAGTCTCAGAATTCCCCCAATAAACACAACCGGAAGTGGACTGTCAAGTATTTTACAAAAGATGACAATGAATGCTTATAAGCTATTTTCTACTGAAGTCATGCTTCATTATAGCAGAACTGCTGGAAGAAGACTGGTCATCAGTAAGTCTGGCTTTACGACTTCAATAATCCTCTGGAAAAAGCAAAGCTAAGGACTCCCTCCTTACTACAGAGCTTCAGAAAGATGCCACACACAAAGGATATTTGTTTCACCTTACATTAGGCACCCAATCTGCAAACAACTGAGTCCCGTCTTACTTGTGAATATTAGGCCCTATTTTAAAAATACCCAAATTATCCTACTTCTTGATTATAAAAATAATCCATGTTGACTGCAGAAAGGTAAAGAACAAAGAAGAAAAGTCATCCTAAATCATATCATTTCTTGAATATGTATTTTAATAAAATTAAACAGCATATGTAACTTCATTTGCTTTATTTTCTTATTAAAATAGCAGTGATATTCCTAAAATTAAATGTTCTCTTACATCATAACTTTAAATGGTTACATATAGATATAGATAAATTGAATTTATTTTACACATCTTTCATCGTTGGCATTTAGATTTAAAACAGTAAATTCGGGTCTGGCACTGTGGCACAGTAGGTTAATCCTCCGCCTGTGGTGCCAGCATCCCATATGGGCACTGGTTCTAGTCCTGGTTGCTCCTCTTCCCATCCAGCTCTCTGCTATGGCCTGGGAAAGCAGTAGAAGATGGCCCAAGTCCTTGGGTCCCTGCACCCGCATGGGAGACCAGGAGGAAGCACCTGGCTCCTGGCTTCAGATCGGCACAGTTCCAGCCATTGCGGCCATTTGCGGAGTGGACACCAGACGGAAGACCTTTCTCTCTGTCTCTCCCTCTCACTGTCTGTAACTATACCTCTCAAATAAATAAATAAAAAATCTTTTAAAAAAACCAGTAAGTTTTAAAGTTTAACATTACTCATTACATCTACTTTTTTAATTTAGCATTTTCCACTATCAATTTTCAGCAAAATAGGGTAATTGAAGAAAATTTCTTTGTATAAAATCCCACATACTGATAAAAATTACACATTTACAAAACCATGTAGCAATGGAGAAAACAGAGTTAATTTTTTTACCTTAGTTGGAACTTCTGAAATAATTAGTCCATCATTTCCCCCATCTTTGCTTTTGAAAAATCTTAAATATACAGAAATAATTTTTTACCTGGATTCATCAATTGTTTCACACTTGCCATACTTACATGTATGTGCATGCATGTAAACATATACTAACTTCTCTTCCTTACTCTCTTTCTCCCTCTCTATAAACTTAAATACATGAGAGTACTTCAAAAGTTCATAGAAAAATGGAATTAAAAGATAAGCTTATTGGCCGGCGCCGCGGTTCACTAGGCTAATCCTCCGCCTTGCGGCGCTGGCACACCGGGTTCTAGTCCCGGTCGGGGCGCCGGATTCTGTCCCGGTTGCCCCTCTTCCAGGCCAGCTCTCTGCTGTGGCCAGGGAGTGCAGTGGAGGATGGCCCAAGTGCTTGGGCCCTGCACCCCATGGGAGACCAGGAGAAGTACCTGGCTCCTGCTTTGGGATCAGCGTGGTGCGCCGGCCACGGCAGCCATTGGAGGGTGAACCAACGGCAAAGGAAGACCTTTCTCTGTCTCTCTCTCTCACTGTCCACTCTGCCTGTCCACAAAAAAAAAAAAAAAAGTCAGTTCAGGGGAAGCACTGTAGATTGTGTCACACAAGATCTGCAAGCACATCACCTTCATTACTACTTTTGTGAGTTTCTCTGACACTGAGTTCTTTTAATATCACTTTTAAAATGTGTTTATTTATTGGAGAGGCAGGGGAGGGGAGGGAGAGAGAGATCAATTGTCCTTCTATTGGTTCACTCTCCAACAGCTGGGGCTAGGCTAGGCTGATGCCAGGAGTCTGGAAATCCATCTAGCCTCTTATGTGGCTGGCAGGAACCCAAGTACTTTGAGCCATCATCTGCTGCTCCTGGACGCGTTAGTAGGAAGCTGGATTGGAAAAGGAGGTGAGATTCAATCCTAGGCACTCAGTTATGGGATGTGGGCATCCCAGCTGTAGCTTAACCTGCTGTGCCACAACATCCACCCCTCTGACACAGATTTCTTAAACCAAGCATGTACGTTAGAAACACATGGTGAAGTTCCAAAACAAATGCCTTGATCCTAATCCTAGATTTTGAGTTGATTAGGTCTAGTGCAGGGCTTAAAACCTTCAGTTGAAGAGATGATTTCATGATATAAGATATAGTATCAGACAGCCAGGGACCCCATGTAGGCCACTATAGCCTCAGGAGTATCTTTGGCTTTACTGAGAGAGAAAATCAGTCAGGGGCCAGAAAAGTAAAGCAAGAGAGTTTTATTAAAGAAAGTGATGGGCCGGCGCTGCTGCTCACTAGGCTAATCCTCCGCCTAGCGGCGCCGGCACACCGGGTTCTAGTCCCGGTCGGGGCGCCGGATTCTGTCCTGGTTGCCCCTCTTCCAGGCCAGCTCTCTGCTGTGGCCAGGGAGTACAGTGGAGGATGGCCCAAGTGCTTGGGCCCTGCACCCCATGGGAGACCAGGAGAAGCACCTGGCTCCTGCTTTGGGATCAGCGTGGTGCGCCGGCCACGGCAGCCATTGGAGGGTGAACCAACGGCAAAGGAAGACCTTTCTCTGTCTCTCTCTCTCACTGTCCACTCTGCCTGTCCACAAAAAAAAAAAAAAAAGTCAGTTCAGGGGAAGCACTGTAGATTGTGTCACACAAGATCTGCAAGCACATCACCTTCATTACTACTTTTGTGAGTTTCTCTGACACTGAGTTCTTTTAATATCACTTTTAAAATGTGTTTATTTATTGGAGAGGCAGGGGAGGGGAGGGAGAGAGAGATCAATTGTCCTTCTATTGGTTCACTCTCCAACAGCTGGGGCTAGGCTAGGCTGATGCCAGGAGTCTGGAAATCCATCTAGCCTCTTATGTGGCTGGCAGGAACCCAAGTACTTTGAGCCATCATCTGCTGCTCCTGGACGCGTTAGTAGGAAGCTGGATTGGAAAAGGAGGTGAGATTCAATCCTAGGCACTCAGTTATGGGATGTGGGCATCCCAGCTGTAGCTTAACCTGCTGTGCCACAACATCCACCCCTCTGACACAGATTTCTTAAACCAAGCATGTACGTTAGAAACACATGGTGAAGTTCCAAAACAAATGCCTTGATCCTAATCCTAGATTTTGAGTTGATTAGGTCTAGTGCAGGGCTTAAAACCTTCAGTTGAAGAGATGATTTCATGATATAAGATATAGTATCAGACAGCCAGGGACCCCATGTAGGCCACTATAGCCTCAGGAGTATCTTTGGCTTTACTGAGAGAGAAAATCAGTCAGGGGCCAGAAAAGTAAAGCAAGAGAGTTTTATTAAAGAAAGTGATGGGCCGGCGCTGCGGCTCACTAGGCTAATCCTCCGCCTAGCGGCGCCGGCACACCGGGTTCTAGTCCCGGTCGGGGCGCCGGATTCTGTCCCGGTTGCCCCTCTTCCAGGCCAGCTCTCTGCTGTGGCCAGGGAGTGCAGGGGAGGATGGCCCAGGTGCTTGGGCCCTGCACCCCATGGGAGACCAGGAAAAGCACCTGGCTCCTGGCTCCTGCCATCGGATCAGCGCGGTGCGCCGGCCGCAGCGCGCCGGCCGCGGCGGCCCTTGGAGGGTGAACCAACAGCAAAGGAAGACCTTTCTCTCTGTCTCTCTCTCTCACTGTCCACTCTGCCTGTCAAAAAAAAAAAAAAAAAAAAGTGATGAAAAACAGGTTACTCTATATACAGAGCCCCCATGTGCTGTTTCAACTCCTCCTTTATGGGGTTTAGCAAATGCATGGTATTATCTGGGCAGAATAACTTAACTATCTCATTTTTGGGAAAGGACAGCAACCTCCCAGAATTGGGGAGTTTTTCCCTCCATAGATGATAACTTTCACATATTATCACAGCACTTAGAAACTGTCATGACATGAGGGAGAGTGACTTTTTACTATGCTAATACATTATAGTGAGGGCATAATGAGAGTGTGGGTCTCCTTGAGGTTAAGTGCCATCTTGGATTTCACTGATTTGAACTGTTTCATTTGTCTGCATCTGTTTTTGTATTTTTATTTTTTTAAAGATTACTTATTTGAAAGTCAGAGTTACAGAGAGAGATAGAGAGAGAGAGAGAGAGAAAGGTCTTCCATCTGCTGGTTCACTCCCCAAATGGCCACAACAGCTGGAGCTGTGTCGATCTGAAGCCAGGAGCCAGGAGCTTCTTCCAGGTCTCCCATGAGGGTGCAGGGGCCCATCTTCTACTGCTTTCCCAGGCTATAGCAGAGAGCTGGATTGGAGGAGAGCAACTGGGACTCGAACTAGCACCCAGAAGGGATGCTGGCGCTTCAGGCCAGGGCGTTAACCTGCTGCACCACAGCACTGGCCCCAGTATCTGTTTTTTTTTTTTTTTTCCAGCCCACTTCCTGGTAGGCAGAGCTAGGGCTTGCCACATACTATCTCAACTTGGTAAACAAAATCTAAATTGCCATATGCTGTATCACTAAATAGCCCTGACTCAAAGATTTTTCTGGGGTGGAGAAACAGGCGATAAAACAGACAGCTTATAGTCTCTTTCTAAAGGCTGTGATTCCACTTGCAATAGGGCACGGAAAAGTTCAAACCTAATGGCAAAATAAATAAGTACATAATAAATTAAAGGGTTGGGATTTGGTCTTGCAATTAAGATGAGGGTTAAGATGCCCATATTCCATATTGGAGAATTAGCTCCTTGCTAATGCAGATCTTGGGAAGTAGCAGTGATGTTTCAAGTACTGGCTTTGATCCAGTCCAGCTCCAGGCATTTGCAGACAGGAAATGAAAAAGCAAAAAGGAGCTCTCTCTCCCATGTC